TTGGAGATGCTGTCCAGCACGAGGTCCTCGACGGTGATGCCGAAGCAGCCGAGGACCTCGGGCGTCGGCTCGAGCGTCGGCTCCGGCGACGGGTTCACCGGCGCGGGCGACGGCGCGCCGCCGCCGACGATGAGGATCTCCGGCGACTCGACGTCGAAGCCCTGGCCGTACTCGATGACGCGGATGCGGTAGTCCGACACGGGGAGCGCGCTCGGGACCTTGAAGTGGAGCATCGTGTCCGCCGTGTGCATCGCCTCGTACTGCGCGATGGTCTCGACGGGGTCGCCGGAGACGGAGCCCTCGTAGAGGAGCACGTCGATGACGCCGTAGGAGTAGGAGTAGACCTTGTTGCACATGTGGAGGTCGATGTCGACGGTCTCGCCCCACTCCCACTCGAGGTCGAGGTCCCGGAACGTCATCTCGCAGTCCGTGGGCTCGACCGTCGGGTTGATGGGCGCCGCCGTGGGCACGTAGGTCGGGTAGGCCGTCGGGAGGTCGCCGGTCTTGGAGGGCTTGTCCGTCGGCAGCGGCGACGGCGCCTTGGACTTGAAGGGCGCGGGCGTCGGCTCGTAGTCGACGACGGAGAAGTTCTCCGTGAAGTAGATCTCGAGCTCGTCGTCGTCCGTGTCGTCGACGTCGAGGGCCTTGCGGCGGCCGTCCTTGTCGGCCAGCTTGCGCACGGAGTTGGCCGTGCCGAGGTAGACGAACATGGCGAAGTAGTAGTCGTCGGCCGGCGCCGTGCCGCGCGGCAGCGTGAAGGCGACGGCCGTGCCCGGGTTGCCGCACTCGTCGTCGCCGACGGCGGACTTGCAGGACGTGCCCGTCCAGGTGCAGCACGACATGGTGCACTGGGAGGAGCGGTAGCCGTGGCCCTCGCAGACGTCCTCGCCGGTGCCGACGTAGTGGTCCACGTCGTACATGAAGGCGATCTCCTCGACGAAGCCGTTGTTGTCGTTGCACATGTTCGCCCCGGGCTCGGGGACGCCCTCGCAGAGCCGCAGCGTGACGGAGTTGGACCGGTCCTTGGTCCCCGTGAAGCGCATCGTCAGCGTGAGGTCGTCGCCGGGCTTCATGAAGTTCGTCGACAGGTCGCCGCCGAAGCCGAGCGTGTGCGTCTCGGCCCCGTCGACGACGTCGACCTCGAGCGTGAGCGTCTCGCCCGTGGGCGCCGCCGTGGGCGTGTACGTCGTCGGCGACGCGGACGGCGCGTACGTCGCGACGGGCGACGGGCGCGAGCTCGGCGCGGCCGTGGCCGAGAACCAGTAGCGGTTCGACACGCCCGCGAGGCCGTAGGTGTACTCGACGACGCGGTACGTGTAGAGGCTGTTCACGTCGAAGTCGTCCGCGGACGGGTACCAGACGCCGCGGAAGAGGAGCGGGTCCTTGGACGCGCAGCCCGTGCAGATCTTGTACACGTCGACGTCGTTGGCGACGTCGTAGACGTAGATGTCGTACTCGAAGTCGTACGCGATGTCTTTGTAGAGGTTCACGCACTCGTCGAAGTACTCCGCGCCGTGCTCCATCTTGCAGCCGTAGACGGTGTCGTAGCCGTTGACCTCCGTGACGGTGATGTCGACGAGCTGGGGGTTGCCATCGATGAAAATATGGGTCGACTCGACGTCCATGTCGCTCGGCAGGCCCTGCTCCAGCGCCTTGCCCGCGTCCACGATTTGGGAGTCGGCGGCGACCGACTCATCCCAGAGGGTCTTCTGCGCGCCGTTCATGGCGAGCGACCGGAAGCGGAAGGGCGCGCGGGGCGTCGTCGGGTAGTGCGTCGGCTTGTGGCTCGGCGATGGGGTTGGTAACAGGGTGGGCACGCGCGTCGGCCTCGGGTGCGGCACCGTCGTCGGCGCGAGGGACGGGTAGAAGGTCGGCCCGCTCGTGGGCACGGGCGTGGGCATGGACGTCGGGTAGAACTCGGAGATGCCGAACTCCTCCGTGTAGAAGGAGCTCTGCTCGCTGAGGCGGCGGTCCTCGCTATTGACGTCGTCGTCGTAGAGCACGTAGAGCACGAAGCGGTAGTCCGTGCCGTCCATGGAGTGGCCGATGGTCGACGCCGAGGGGATGAAGATGTCGAACTGGGTCGGCCCCTCGTCGGCGGCGTCGACGTGCTGGCCGACGCTCAGCGTGGACACGAGCGTGCCGCACGGGTCCGCGGAGTCGCCGAAGCCCTCGCAGAGCCGGACGGTCACGGACCCCGCCGTCGTCGACGAGCCCGTGAAGCTGAGGAACATGGTCACCGTCGCGCCCTCGATGAGCACGGAGTTGTCGCCGAAGCCCAGCGTGCGGTTCGGGAACGCCGCGTCGTTCGACAGCACCTGGCAGTAGAGCGTCTCCGCCGTGGGCACGGCCGTGGGCACGGACGTCGGCGACATGGTCGGCAGGGGCACGGGCGCCGCCGACGGCTGCACCGTGGGCACGGGCGACGGGTAGTGCGTCGTCGTGAGGAAGAGGTCCGGCGACGTCGACTCGATGCCGATGTTGTACTCGAAGAGCACGAGGTTGTAGTCGCCCATGAAGTCGGCCCAGTCGCCAACGTCGGTCTGGCCGAAGGACTGGCCCGGCACGTAGGTGTGCGTCTCGTAGAAGGGCGTCGACATCTGGTAGTTCTGGAGCACGAGGTCCCGGAGCGTGCCCGAGTCCTTCTCCTGGAGCGTGACGTCGACGAGGAAGTAGAAGGGCACCTCCTCGCCGTCGGACGTCACGAGCGTCTCCGGGTAGTCGTTCGTGCCGTAGGTCGCCGCGTAACTCGTGAAGAAAAACTCGATGGTGTTGTTCAGGTACGTGAAGATGCCGTAGGTCGGGTTGCCGCGCGCGTCGTAGTCCTCGGTGCCGATGGCCGTCCAGGACACGGCGAGGCCCGACGGCGCCGGCGTGCCCGTGGGGGCCGGGCTCGGCCAGGGCGTGGGCTCCACGGACGGCAGGGGCGACGGCGGCGTCGTCGGCACCTCGGACGGGCTGCCCGTCGGCGTCGACGTCGGCAGCGTCGTCGGCACGGAACTCGGCTCGGACGTGGGCACGCCGCTCGGGTAGCGCGTCTTCGTCGGGCTCGGCGTCGGCACCTTCGTCGGCTCCGGCGACGGGGGGAGGCTCGGGTTCGCCGTCGGAAGGGGCGTCGGCTCCGAGGACGGCGTCTGCGGCGCCGGCGTCGGGGGCGAGGACGGCCCGGGCGTCGGCACGGGCACGGGCACGGTCGTCGGCTCGTAGGTCGAGTAGGTCGGGACGTAGCTCGGGGTGGCCGTCGTCGTCGGGGTGAAGGTCGCCGTCGGGGTTTTTGTTTCCTTCGCGAGCAGGCGGCGGCCGTCGACGTGCGACCGGCGCATGAGCCCGAAGGCGCCGTGGGCCTGCGACACGTCGACCTCCTCGAGCTGGGCGCACGCGGAGGCCGCGAGGCACAGCGCCAGCGCAGCGCGCATCATCGTCGTGCTGCTTTCCCGCGCGAACGTGCCGCGGCGGCCCTGGCCGTCCAGGTGCCCGACCGCGGCGGGAGCGGCTGCGTCCACGCCTATCGCGGCAGCCTCCCAATTTTGATCGACTTTTTGTATCAATCAGTGTCTGCAGCGTGCCGGCACCATATCCGCCAAAAAATCTGATTGAGGGGCACGATTGGCGGCGAAGGGTAATGTTCGTTTAGGCGGGGGTCACAGGATGGCGGACCTGTCCCGGGCGCCAGGAGCCGGTGCGCACGGCGTGCCCCCCGGAAGCACTCTCGAGAGAGAGCAGTACGAGCCCGGAGCCGCCGATCTTCAGGGCGTGGACGCCGCGGCGCGACGCGGGGCCCACATCGCGAGCGAGACGCCGCCGAGCGTCGCGAGCACGTCTGTGGCCGACCACGACCCCCGGCCAGGCGCAGACTGCACGGACGGAATTTCCAGGGAGAGCGGCCGGCGTTGCACCGCTTGAAGTGTGCTCAAGTGTGTCTCGATCACCCGCCTGCGGACCCCCGGCCAACTCGGAGACGGCGAAGTACCACGACCGATCCCTCTCCCTAGCTCGCCGGGGGTCCGCAGGCGGGTGTGTCTCGATATCGCGATCTCGCTCTGCCGAGCCAGTCGACGTGTCTCTCGTCCTACTGCCTCGACGCCCGGCTGCCATCTCAAGCAACACCAAGAAGCAGTCGCCACCATGGCCTTCGTCCACGGCAGCAAGGTCGCGCGCGCCGCGAGCCGCGTCGCGAGCCGCTCGATCTACACGAAGACCGTGGACAACTACGAGTCCGTGCTGGACCGCTTCGCGCGGGACCGCCTCACCGCCGTGCTGCGCACGCCCACGGGTGCGCACCGCCGCCCCCCCCCCCCCAGTTCCGAGACGAGAGCGCCCCGCATCCCGCGCGTGTTCCGCCAACCAATTCCGAGACGAGAGAGCGCCCCGCATCCCGCCAACCCGTGCCCCCCCCTCGCAGCCGAGGCCGCGCCGAAAGCGATGGCGGCGGCCATCGACGGCGGCTTCAAGATCGCCGAGTTCACGCTGACGACGCCCGGCTGCCTCGACGCCGTCGCCGACTTCCGCGGCAAGTACGACGGCGACGTCATGGTCGGCTGCGGCACGATCATGTGCACCGAGGACGCGGAGGCCGCGTGCGACGCGGGCGCGGAGTTCATCATCACGCCCGTGCTCCTCCCCGAGGTCGTCACCTGGTGCGCCCAGCGGAACATCGTCTGCGTGCCCGGCTGCCAGACGCCCACGGAGCTCTACACGGCCTACACGCTCGGCGCGCCCCTCCAGAAGGTCTTCCCGGGCGTCGCCGGCGCGGTGACGTGGGTCAAGGCCGTGTCCGCGGCGCTGCCCATGCTCCGCCTCAACCCCACGTCGGGCGTCGACCTCGACAACGCCGGCGAGTACCTCTCCAACGGCGCCGCCTCCGTGGGCCTCGTCGCGCCGCTCTTCCCGCCGGACGCGATCGCGAACGAGGACTGGGACGCGATCCACGCGAACGCGACCAAGGTCGTGGGCAACGCCGCCAAGGCCGGGCCCTTCGTCCGGAAGCCCACGGGCTTCCAGCTCGCGAAGCTGTGAGCGCGGTCCGAGAGTCCGCCCCGGCGCCGCCGGCGCGCGCGGTCGAGAACAAAAGCCGCCCGTCGCCGCCGACGATGTCGTAACTCCGTCGCTTCCCGAGGAACCGGGCCCGGGGGTCGTCACTCCTTTCGTTTACGGCAGCCCCGCGACGCCGCCGCCGGAGGGCTTCGGCCGCGGCCGAGCCTTGGGCTTCGGCGCGGCCGCCGCGGGCTTCGGAGCCTCGGGGTTCCGCCGGAAGACGGCGACCCAGTAGGGCGCGCCGTCGATGTCGTAGTCCTCCTTGGACTCGAAGGCGAAGCCGGCCCTCTCGACGTTCTTCCGGTAGTCCGGCCAGGTGCGGAACTCCGTGTGGGCGCCGTCGACGGTCCGCGGCTCCTTGGTCTCGTCGTTCGTCGCCTCGCCGAGGACGAAGCAGCCGCTCTTGGGCGCGAGGTGGTCGCGGAGGCGCGCGTAGACGGTTCGATGCTCGCTCCAGGGCACGTAGCGCAACACCTGGGCGGCCATGGCGCCGTCGAAGGGCGCGCCGTCGACGCGCAGCGCGGCCCAGTCGCCGCCGACGGCCTCGTGGACGACGAAGTCGCACCTCGAGTCGACCCTCAGCAGCCGCGCGGCCGCGCGGCCGAATTCGACGTTCCGCGGCGCCGCGTCCGCCCCGACGACGCGCACCTCGCAGCCCGCGGGACAGCGCTCGACGCCGCGCGCCGCGAGCTTGGCCGCGTCGCGGCCGCAGCCCGAGCCCAGGTCCAGCAGCCGCATCGTCGACGACGCCGCGCGGCAACGATCGAACAGCAAGTCCCGCGGCCGCCCGAGGAAGTGGGCGCAGCGCGCGCCGTAGGACGACCCGGACGCCGCGAGCTGGTCCACGTTCCGCGTGAGCTGCATGTACTTCTCCGCGTCGTCGTCGAAGTGCTTCGCGGTCGCGGCGATCTTCTCCGCGGCGGGCTTCTCGTCGTCGGCCTGGGCAGCACAAGAGTGATTCAACGTCGCTTCAACGTGAGTGTTCCGCGCGCGCGCGTTCCGGAAAAAGCATCCACGCTTCGAGGCCGTTCCAAGAGATGATCGCTCGTCCAAAAATCAGCCAAAACGAGTGGAAAACGGCCGAGATCGGAGCCTTTGAAGTTGGGAAGTTCGCTCTCTTTTGCTGCCCCGTCGTCGGCGTCGCGGGCCTTGGACAGCTGGCGCGCGAGCGCGGCGAAGGACGTCGTCTGCCCCGCGCGGCGCACGAGGAAGTGGCCCTGCTTGCGGCCGTCGTCGTTCGCCGACGAGTTCGGGTCGAGCGCCCAGTCCGCGTCGCCCATCATGTCGTCGGCCTGGAGGAGCGCGCAGTCCTTCTCGTTGGCCCACCAGTCGTCGTCGGGGCAGCGCTTCACGTGCTGCTTGCAGAACGTGCGCAGCACCTGCTTGGCGAGCACGCCCTTGCCGCCGGAGCTCAGGCGCACGACGAAGGGCGTGCCGTCGCAGCGCTCCATGAGGCACGTGAGGTCGCCCTGGCCCGCCTTCTTGATCTTGCAGTCGCGCATGGCCTCCGTCATCAGGTTCAACTCGTGCTGCGCCTTCGGGTCGATCTTCCCGTCCCCGTCGTCCGCCATCCTCGACGGCGCGGAGGCGACACGGCGGCGGAGGCGCACGACGCGTAGGGCTGCTTTCAAGGGCTTCTCCATTCCTTCAACGTGACGCTCCTCGACGCGATGTGCCCGAGATCCCTCCCCCAGCGCACGCAGCAGCCTTCAACCCTCCTAAAGCGCTCCACTGGCAGGCATATATTTAGAAGTCGTCGGGGTCCAGTTCGCCGACCTTGTCCTCCGTGCCGACGAAGTCGTCCTCGGCGGCGGCCGGGGCCGGCGCGGCCTTCTTGGCCTTCTTGGCCTTCTTGGCCTTGGCCGCGGGCGCCGCCGCGGCCGCGGCGTCGCCGGCGGCGGGGACGAGGCCCCGGAGGCGCTTGCGGCGGGCCTCGCGCGCGTGGACGCGGGCCGCGAGGCGGTCGCGCGCGGGCTTGGCGCCCCTGGGGAGGAGCGGCTCGAAGGCGACGACGTCCTTGGGCGCGGCGCCGATGGTCGCGCGCTTCTTCGCGGCGTCGTCCGCGGCGGCCTCGAAGGTCGCGGCCGCGGCCGTCGCCGCCGCGCGGAGCTTCGGGTGGCACTTCTTCTCCTTGGCGAGGGCCTTGAGCGCGACGGAGGGCACGATCGCGAGCTCGGGCGCCGCGGCCGAGTACTTGACGACCTCGAGGTAGTCGAGGAGCGCGTCGACGACCTCGCGCGCGAGCTCGACGCGGCAGTGGCCGTCGCGGCCGTCGCCGAGGTCCACGTAGTGCGCGAAGCCGTCGTAGTCCAACAGCTGCTTCTTCTTCGCGGCGCCCTTCTCCGGCGGCGGCAGGCCCTTGGACGCCGCGAGCGACTCCCGGAGCGTCGCCAGCAGGCACTTGGTCGTCGGCACGTAGACCTCCGCCGTCGCCGCGAGGCCGTGGAGCGCCTTGGCGCAGTGGACGCGGAACGGCGCGTAGCGCGGCGCCTGCGCGAGCTCGATGGCGCCGAAGAGGACCTGGCAGAGCGGAAACACGAGCTCCCCGAGCCGGTCGTCGGCGGCGTTGCCGCGCCGCGACAGGGCCGCGGCCCAGGCCCGGGCCGCGTTGAGGAAGCGCCAGCAGAGCACGTCGCCGACGTCCTTGGGCGCCTTCGTCGCCAGCGCCTGGCGGACCTTCAGCGCGAGCTGGCGAACGTACACAAAGGCCGTGCGGTAGGCCGCGTCGGGCGATGCGTCCGCATAAAGCTCCGCGACGCAGGACGTCGCGAAGGCCAGCGACGGCGCGGCCTTGGCCGCGCGGGCCGGGTTCGCGGACCCGCCGGCGAAGCCGCAGACGTCGCGCGCGAGCCCGTTGTACGCGCGCTTCAGGACGTACTCCTCCACGGAGTCGCCCTTGCGGCCCCGCGACGCGTCGGCCGTCGAGCTCGCGCCGCAGGCGACGACCTCGCGCAGGCGCACGTAGGCGTCGACCTGGAGCCCGCGCTCGCGCGCGTTGAGCGCTTCCCGGTCCGCGTCCTCGGAGCCCTCGGGCGGCGCCTCGACGACGCGGCAGAGGTGGCCGACGAGCACGCGCGCGAAGCGCGGCGCGAGGGACCCGTCGAGGGGGCTCACGGCGAGCCAGGGCGCGTAGGCGCCGAGCTTGCCGCACGCGAGCACCTGGGCAGCACAAGAGTGCGAAATTCCCAACTTCAAAGGCTCCTCTCTCGGCCGTTTTCCGCTCGTTTCGGCTGATTTTTGGACGAGCGATCATCTCTCGGGACGGTCTCGAAGCGTGGACGCTTTTTCCGGAACGCGCGCGCGCGGAACACTCACGTTGAAGCGACGTTGAATCACCCTTTTGCTGCCCTGGCGAGCACCGCCAAGGTCGTCGACCGCTCGCCGCCGCGGCCGCTCTTCAGCGCGCTCAGGAACGCGCGCAGCGTCGACCGCACGAGCGGCAGGCACTTCTCGAAGGCGTCGTCGTCGGCGTCGCAGGCCTCGCGCAGCGCCCGGGCGTCCGCGGCCAGCGCCGCTAACGCGTCGCCGCCGGCCGCGAAGGGCTTCGCGCCGACGAGCGCGCGGAAGCGGCCCGCGAGCTCGTCGAAGGCGAGGGCGATGGCGGCCTCGCGCACGGCCGGGTCCACGATCTCGAACTGGGACGACGCCGCCTTGGCGTCCTCCTCGTCGCTGTCGTCGTCGCTCTCGCCGCCCGCGTCCGAAGCGCTGTCCGCGGAGTCGTCGTCCTTGGCCGCCCGCGCCTTGCCCCGGCGCCGCTGCTTCCGCGAGCCCGCGGCCTCGTCGTCGTCGCCGCCGCAGGCCGCGCGCGCGAGGGCCACGAGGCGCTTCGTCGACCGGAACGAGCCGCCGGCGAGCGACGCCTTCAGTTCCTCGAACTTCGCCGCCGTCAGCAGCACGCCCTTGGAGATGAGGCCCCCGGCGCCCTCCTCGTCGTCGTCGTCGTCGTCGTCTTCTTCTTCTTCTTCTTCTTCCTCGTCGTCCTCCTCGTCCTGCTCGCCGTCCAGCGCCTTGGCGTCGTCGCTGTCGGCGTCGCTCACGTCGTCCATGGCCTCGTCGCCGTCGCCCTGGAAGGCGAGGAGGCCGCTGTCGTTCTCCTGGAGGTACTTGTAGAACTCGGGGTCCCGCGTCGCGAGCGCGTCGAGCTCCGCCTGGTGGCCGCCGAGGCTCTCGTCGTCGTCGTCGTCGTCGCTGCTCCCGTCGGCCGCGGACTCGTCGTCGGACGGCGCCGGCGCCGCGTCGTCGAGGTGGTCGCCGGCGAGGAACTCGTCGACGTCCATGTCCTGCACGGCCTTCTTCTCCGACGCCTTCTTGGCCGGCGGCGGCGCGGCCTTGGGCTTCGGCGCCTGCTTCGGCGGCGCCGCGGCCTTCTTCGCCTTCTTCAGGAGCTTCGCCTTCTGCGCCGTCTTCGCCTGGGTCTTGCCCAAATTCTTGCCGTGTTTGCCCATGGCTGCTGCGCCGGTCGTGCGGTGCTGCTCGGGTGCGCGACGACGAGCTCGGCCGAAGCAAAGCGGCGATGAGAATGAGGGCAAGGTCTATTCAATCGAGCTGCTCGTTGGCATGTTGCACAGACCTCCAGAAGACATGACCCCCGGGGGATGACGCGGGGCTGCCTCGTAAGAATGCTCCTCGCCCTCCTCCTCCTCGCCACAACAACAGCTTCATCCAACGAGAACCTCGTCCTACCGCCGCTCCCCGACGCCGCGGGACCGGCGAAGCTGCTCGTGCTCGTCCCCGGCGCCAACGTCGCGACGTCCTACTACAACGCGACGGCCCGGGCGATCCAGGCGCACACACCCTTTAGCGAAGCTCTGGGTCGTCGTGCCGAAGATCCCCGGCGAGACGTGCATCGCCTTCTGCCCGAGCGCCCACGTGTGCGCGCCGCTCCGCGCGCTCGTCGAAGGCGCAGTCGCCGAGGCCGGCGCGTTCGACGCCGCGGACCGGTTCCTCGCGGGCCACAGCCTCGGCGGCGTCTGCGCGGCGACGCTCGCCGTCGCCTACGACGGCGCCTATGCCGCGGCGGCGATGCTCGGCTCTTATGTGACGGCCAGCGTCCTGCGGCCGTGACGATTTTCGAGAGGTTTTGACCGAGAAAACGACGAAAAATCGTCACCGTCATGCTCGGTAGGTGACGGATCAAAACGTCGCGGCCTTCCCGCTGCCCGTGCTCACTCTCGGCGCGGAGCTCGACGGCGGCCTCGGCCGGCCGGGCTACCTCTCGCTGTCCGCCAAGGCGAGCGACGCGATGGCCAGAGACCGCGGCGTCGACTCCGACTGGCAGCTGAAGCGCGCGCCGGTGGTCATCCTGCCGGGCCTCGACCACTCGTCGTTCTGCCCGGGGTTCCGCGTGCCCGGCGACGTCTGGCCCGCGGAGGTCGGCTTCGAGGCCGGCGCCGACGCCGTCGGGACGGCGCTCGGCGCCTTCCTGTCGGTGCAGATGACCGACGCGGCCGACGCCTACGCGACGCTCCGCGACGCGTCGAAGTTCACGCGCGCGCTGCTCGCGCCGCTCCACGAGGCCATGGCGCTCGAGCGCGACGGCGAGACGTCGCCCTGGTGCGAAGAAGCGCAGCGCGTCCTCGCGGGGCCCGCCGTCGCGCCGGACCTGGACGTCGCCGCGCCCTACTTGGAAGGCGCGGGCGACTTCGAGCACTCGCGGGTCCGCTACGCCGCCGCGGGCTACGCCCTCGAGCTCAACGTCTCGGGCCACAACGCCTACTATTCCATCGCCGACTTCAGCAGCCAGTGCGTCACGGCGGCCAAGGAGGTCGGCTGCAGGGCAGGACAAGAGAGCGAAATTCCCAACTTCAAAGGCTCCTTTCTCGGCCGTTTTCCACTCATTTCGGCTGATTTTTGGACGAGCGATCATCTCTCGGAACGGTCTCGAAGCTTGGATGAAATTCTCGTGACGCGCGCGCGCGGAACACTCACGTTAAAGCGACGTTGAATCTCTCTTGTCCTGCCCAGGTCGGCTGCAAGCTCGCGAGCGGCGCGCGCGTCGCGCAGCAGCTCAACGCGACGTCGTCGCCGAACGCCACCTGCCGGGACGTCAACGCGAAGGCCGTCGAGGCGGCCTTTGCCATCCTCGCGGCGACGGACGTCGGCGCGCGGTCGCTCGCGCGCTACCGGTCGCGGGGCCGCGGCCTCTTCCTCGAGGCCGACGCGGCCGTCTTCGGCGACGTCGGCCCGCTCTTCATCGCGGAGCGCCTCCGCATCGGCGACAACGCGAGCGGCATGGTCGTCACGTCCCTGGCGCTCGGCCCCCAGCCCCTCGACGCGACGCTTTTCCCCGGCGTCCACTACTGCAAGCTCCTCAGCCCCGCGCGCGTCGTCGACTACGTCCTCACGGACGCGCTCAAGAACGAGAGCACGTGCCTGAACACGTAACATGGTTTTTACGCCTTCTCTTCCTCGGGCTCGGGCTCGGCCGCGGGCGGCGCCGCGTCGTACCAGACGACGTCCTCGGGGACGTCCTGCTTGATCAGCGTGCCCTTCGTGCCGCCCATGAGCTCCGCGGCGTCGTTCAGGTCGCCGATGATGGCCCAGGCGCCGGGCTCCGGCGACTCCATGACGAACTCGATGGCCGCGGCGACCTTGGGGCCCATGGACCCCGGGAACTTCTGGCCCGACTTCCGCGCGCGGAGGTACTGGGGCGTCACGACCCTCATCTCGCGGCCGTCGGGCTTGCCGAACTTCTCCCAGATGCCGCCGCCGTCCGTGAGGATGATGAGGCCCTGCGCGCCGATGGACCGCGCCATGAGCGACGCCGTGCCGTCCTTGTCGACGACGCCCTCGACGCCGACGATGTCGCCGAAGACGCGCGACACGGGCGCGCCGCCGCCGCCGGCCGCGATGACCAGCGGGTACTTGGCGTCGAGGAGCGCCGTCACCGCGTCGAGCTGGAGGATGGCCTGGGGCTTCGGGCTCGCGACGACGCGGCGGTAGTACTCGCCGTCCTGCTTCACGGTCCAGTCCAGGCCCTTGGCCAGCGCCTCGGCCTCCTTGAAGCCGTAGACGGGGCCGACGAACTTCGACGGCGCGCTGAAGGCCGGGTCCGCGGCGTCGACGAGCGTCTGCGTGACGATCGCCGCGGCGTCGACGCCGAGGCTCTGGAAGGCCTGGCACAGCACGTAGCCGATCTGGCCCTGCGACTCGGCGCCGAGCACGTCGAAGCCCGCGCAGGACCGCTCGAGGGCGAGCTCGCCGACCTAAGACAGTGAGCTCACATTCAAGATTTGATTTGCACGCAGCGCACCTGGGGACCGTTCCCGTGCGTCAGCACGACCTCGTTGCCCGCGGCCTGGATGGCCATGATCGCCGGCGCCATCTGCTTCGCCGCCTTGAGCATGTTCTCGATGGTCAGCCGGTCGCCGCGCCGCTGCAGCGCGTTGCCGCCGACGGCGACGACGACGCGCTGGCCCGTCTGCATCGACAAGGCGCGCGCGGCGCGGCGCATGGCGCCCGATCGAGTGCTCAACATCGTTTGCAATCGAGAGTTTATGGCAGCATCGCTGATTGACGAGCAAAGAGCAGCGTCGTTGAAGAGTCGGTTGGATCTCGGGCAGCCTCTCGTCGTCATGGGTTTCGGCCGGCCGCGGAGCGGCGGCGCCGCGCGCGTCTTCGCGGACCTCGGCGACATGGAGAACGAGGCCAAGCGCGACGACGGCTTCCGGGCGCCCCAGGAGCTGAAACCTTTGGTGCGACCCCAGCACTCGAAGAACCCGAGCCGGGCCAACGGCGCCGACTTCCGCGTCGCGCGCAAGGGCGAGGCGCCGCCGCGGGCGCCGCCGCCGAAGCGCCTGGTCTTCGGCCGCAAGAAGTTCGACCCCTTCGCCGCGCCCGAGGTCGCCGAGCGCATGGCCAAGACGCTGAAAAAGGCCGCGAAGGACGCGGCGTCCACGTTCGGCCTCGGCGCCGCGACGCCGCGCGCGGGCGACGCGGAGAAGTGGGCCAAGTTCTGGGAGCCGACGCAGCGCTGCTACTACTTCGTGTCCAGCACGTCCGGCGAGAGCCGCTGGGCCGCGCACTTCGACGACGACGTCATGGTCGTGGAAGCCGACGACGGGTCCGTGGCCTACGCGCACCACGCGACGGGCAAGGCCGCGACGGGCCCGACGGAGGCGTCCGTCGTCGAGGGCCCGACGATCTGGGTCACGCTCATCGACCCCGTGAGCGGCCAGGTCTACTACTACTCGCGCATGTCGGGCGAGTCGAGCTGGGCGCCGCCGCGGTGGATCGACTACTACGACCCCGACGCGCGCTGCGTCTACTACGTGCACACGCGCACGAACGCGTCGACCTGGGACCGGCCCGAGTCGTTCCTCGACGACGCCGAGGCCGCCGCGGGCGAGCTCGACTACGCGGACGCGCCGCCGCCCGAGGAAGCCAAGGCCGCCGACTCGCCGCGGCGCCGCGGCGCCGACGACGAGGCGAAGCGCGACGCGTCGCCGGCGAAGCGGCCCGCGTCCGCGCACGCGCCGCCGAGCCACGTCCGGAGCCCGCCGGGCGTGAACAAGGAGAACGGCGACGCGCCGCTCGACAAGCTCAACGCGATCCTCTTCTCCTACCAGAAGCGGCCGAAGCAGCCCTGGGACCCGGCCGCGACGCAGGCCCCGGCGGACGCCGCGTCGCCGGAAGCGAAGAAGCGCGACTCCGGCGCGTCCTGCCCGTCGCCGCCGGACTACGTCCCCACGAGGAAGCTCCGCTTCGGCGACACGCTCGTCCTCGCCGACGACCTCGAGATCCTCGACTGAGCGGGGTGCGTGCGCGGCTTGTAAGGATAGGGCATCACGCAGCCGCGCGGCGCGGCGCGCGCGCAATCCCTCCGCCGGCCTGTTTCGCGTGCCGATCGAGAAAGAGGCAATGGCCGGCGTCCAGCAGGCGATGCCGCTCCTCGGGGCCCAGGAGAGAGAGGGGCCCGGACTCGGGGCGCTTCGGCGGCGCGCAGCAGAACGACCGAGCGCTACGAGAGGCCCGCCCTTTTAGCCGCGCGCGCGCCGCGACGGACGAGCGCCTCATGGATGCAAAACTCAGGTAGATCATGTCGGCCGCCGTGAACGCGTTCCGCAAGCACGCGACGCAGTGGGTGATGCAGCGCGCCGTCGCGCCCACGCGCACGGCCGTGCGCCGCATGGGCGGCGGCCACGACGACCACCACCCGCACGCGCGCCGCCGCGTCCCCGAATCGCCGCCGCCGGCCGGCCGCGCGCGGTCCTCCCCCCGGCGGACGTTCCGCCGCCGCGCGCGTTGGCCCCGCGCGCCCGCCCGCCCCCGCGCGCGCCCGACGGCGAGCCCCCCCGCAGCCGACCTTCGACGGCGAGGTGTTCAACAAGACGTCGATCGGCATCGGCGTCATGGCCACGGTCGTCGGCGGCGCGGGCGTCATCTGTTTCGCGGCGTTCTTCCAGAACAAGAAGCACGGATTCATCAAGTAAGCGGCGAACCGCCGTGCGACGGGTCCCCGCGCGTCGCCACTCCCTTTTAAAGTGCCCATATTCCTCCATCTTTGTGTTTCTTTTTTACGGGCCTCTCTCCGCGACTCCTGGGCTCGGGCCTCTCCGCGACGTCTGGGCTAGCCTTGGCCAACAGCGCGTCGACGGGAGTCCGGACGGAATGAGGGCTTCCGTGGGGGGAAACTTTGCGGCAACGTTGGCCAAACCCGAAGGGGCCCCCGGGCCTGCGCGACGGTGCGTGCCGCGGTCCCCGGCCACGTCCCCGGCCCGTGCCCGGGCCGTGCCCGGGGCCCCGTGCCGGGCCCGTGCCGGGCCTCCCCGGCCCGTGCCCGGCCCGTGCCCGGGGCCCGTGCCGAGTGCCGGGCCCGTGCCGGGCCGCGTGGCCCGTGCCCGGCCCGTGCCCGGGGGCCCGTGCCGAGTGCCGTGCCGCGTGCCGGGCCCGTGCCGGGCCGCGTGCCCGGAGCGCATTTACCGTGCCGGAACCCCCGTGCCCGCCGTCCCCGGCCCCCGTCCCGGGGCCGGACCGTCGTGCAGGGGCCCGTACCCGACTCGGAGCAACACGATGGGTGCTTGATTGTGTGTGATTGCACGCGATGCGACGAACGGCAATGCTGCGCGCTGTCATCCTGGTCTCCATCGCCGCGAAGACTGCATGCCTGGTGATGCCGCCGGTCGTCTTGCAACACCGCACGCGGCTGGAAAGCGCGCCGACGTTGGACGACCTCGCGCCGTCGTGGGAGGCGCTGGACGCGTTGCTGGCGAAATCGGCGACCGGCCGGCGCCTGGTCTCGGGACCACGTGCGGTCCGAACTCCACGTGTGGTGTGCGTCGGCGCGCGCGGAACGAGCGAGGAACACCCCGACTGTGCTCATCACGCGGACCCCCGGCCGAACGCTCAACTTGTGAAGGACACGATGGACACGACATCAAGCGCCCGTGCCACCTGCCCTCGCCGCCGCCAGCTGCGCGTCGCAATCGACCCCTCAGCGTTCACGGACACGAGCCGCTCGCTCCCAGCGTCCCACGAGCACCCCTGGGCGTCTTGGGCGAACGCGTCCCCGCGCGCAGGTCATGCTCGGCCCAGGAGAGACCGGCGACACGCCGGTCGCCGAGCTCAAGCGCAAGTCCGAGGAGCACAAGGCCGAGGCCGCGCGCCTCGAGCAGCGCGTGCTGTTTGCCCAGGAGCGGCACGGTGAGGCCGACGACGAGGAGGCGCCGCCGCCGCAGACCGGCGACGACTCGGGCGCGTCCGCCGGCGGCGACTCGTCGTCGTCGTCGCCGCTGACGCCCGGCCCGCCCGGGCGCGGCGCCGTCGTCGTCACGCTCGCCGAGGCCTTCCCCGACACGTTCGGGTTCGGCGAGGCGTTCAAGGAGTTCGAGGGCTGCGCCGTCGGCGGCGACGGATACTACCGCCGCGCGTCGGAGCGGGAGCTCGGCCGCCTGACACAACGCCCGTTGTATGATCTTCTGCGTCTCTTACGCCCGCATAGGAACCAGGATCTCAAGTGCGACATCATCGAGGAGCTGGTTCGCTACGGGACGCCCGCGCACGTCTCCGTCGACGCAGACGGCGATCTCTTCTACGACCGCGCGCCCGTGCCGCCGGTGAAGCGGGTGAATCTGCGCTTCGCGGGGATGATCCGCTTCGGAAGTGGATTCGAGGCCTTCGACGGCAAGCGGAACCCCTTCACCGACGAGCCCTTCGCCCGGGCGACGTACGACGAGCTCATGTCGATGCACAGGCCGGTGTTATCGCTTATGGTCGACGCATGCCCAATGACTCGCGAAGAGCGGTCCGCTTTGATGAAACGAAGCGCGAAGGAACGTCTGGCGAAGTTCCTCGCATCGCATGGGGTGCCAAAAGGCGTCGACCTGCGCCCTGGCGCGCGCCGGATTTGTCTCTACCGTCCGTATCCTATCGGGTTTTCGACGCGAGACCATTCGTCGGAAGCGAAGCGCTTTCGTGCAGCACAAAAAGCGAGGTGTTTGGCGCAATCCAAGCTCGCGGCCGAGGCGCGGCTCGAAGGCAAGCCGAGATCGAGTGGTGGTGGTTCCGGTGCCATCTCGGCGTCGCGCAACGCCGAGCAGAAGCGTCTGATCGCGCTCCTCGCCGATCATCACGCGCGCGCCAACGGCCACGACTTCGCCAACCGCTGCTACAGGAAGTGGTGGCACACGAATTATTGTAACCCGCCGGAGGCGGTCATGTGCTTCGTGTGCAAGTGTATGACGAAGAAACGCGTATTCGAGCACTGGCAGATCGCGAACTCGGACGGCTCCGTCACGTACTACCACCGCAGCCTCACCTGCTGCCCGACATGCAACATCGTCACCGTCTGCATCGTCGACAAGCTCGAGCTGCCGGCGCAGGACATCGCCGAGGCGCGCGCGCGCGCGCGCGCAGATGCACGCGCCGTCGCCGCGTTCTGCTACCCCGGCTACACGCCGCCGTCGTAGACGCACGCCCTCCCGCCCCGCCGCATGTAATGCTGGTCTTCGACGCGTGCGTGGGATTTGAGATCGACCCCCAGGCTCGTCAGGCGGGGCCAGCCTTGGAGGCGTCGCAGGCCATCTCGACCGCGCGGTGACTGCAACAAACCACGACTGGCTTCACCACTGGTTCAGCGAGACGTCGACGACATCGCGAGGCCGTCTTCGACAAGACGACAAGGGCGTCTCGCAGCTCCGGGGCCGCCGTCATGGAGCGCACCGTGGAGCGCCTCGACCTCGACATGACAGGCACGGCGCACGCGAACAAGCCGGCGCCGCCGCCCCAGCGCCAGGAGGACGCTCTTGGATTTCCTACCTCAACCCTCCACTTCGGCCAGCAAGTCGCTCAGTACTCGCCCACCGACATCGGCCGTCAAGGCCGGCCGTACAAGCCCTTCCCCGACATCACCTACAAGCAGCTTGCTGTGCTCTACGTGTCCGCGGTCGGCGCCGCGGCCATCGACGCGGCGATGACCGCGTGCTGTTGGACGTCGAGCTTCGTCGAGCTCGATGAGTGGTACCGCGGCGCCGACGGGGACGACTTCGTCTACCTGTTCCGCATCGCGTGCATCGTCTACAACGTGCGGCCCTACCAGGAGGGCCTCAACGTGTCTTTCATGCAGTGGGCGGGAGACCTGCGGACACAAGCCCAGACGGACTTCTTCGTCTCGCTGAACGAGTTAGGGAAAGAAATAGGCATACCGGTCTACCAGGCGGCGCACCCTACCGTGGATTGGCTGAAGTGCTCGCTCTGCCCCGAGGTCCTCGATGTCACGTCGCGCAACTGGGACCACTCTTCGGGAAGTTCACGCGTGAATGGGGCGACCTGCGCGCACTGCAACACGAAGAAGTGCATGCTCATGCAGCGGGTCGGGCCCGCCGCGTACTTCCGGCAGCTCGACGACGCCGTGACGCACTCGTACACGGCATCGTCCGTGTCCCTGACCAGCCGCTACCACGAGGCCCTCGTCGCCGGCATGGCCGACGAGTCCGACGACGAGAGCGACTAAGAACTAGACCGGTGGCCTGCGGCGCTCGAGACGCGGTCGCCGAAGCGACGCGCGCATATCGCGAAGTCGACCTCGGTGAATTGTCTCATGTGTTAGTCGGCAACAGTCGGCAACTCGGGCGCAAGGTGACGGCAAGAAGCTCTTGGATGCTCACGCGACTGACCTGGTGCGACGAGCGTCGCAGCGTGCCGACAGCCAGCACCGCGGCAACGCTTGCGACTTCGTGCTCTACAGTAGCGTAGCCTCGCAAAAAATCCGCAATGATCAGCAACGCAGCTCTCAGATTCGCGCTCGTGTTCGCCGCCGCGGGCGCGCTCGCGCCGGCATCGATCCACCTCGCGCGCCGCACCGGCGCGCTGCGGTCGACGGCGACGGCGACAGCACCAACGACCACAGCGACGACGCGCACGGCGCGCATCCTCGAGCACCTCGAGGCCGAGGGCGACGGCGCCGGCGCGGGCGCGTCGGGCACGCTCCGCGGCATCGAGGGCCTGGACCGCGCGTGGGCGCAGCTCCGGCGGCCGACGGGCGGCCCGGCGCCGGCGCCCTTCGTCACCGAGGGCGACGTCGGCGCCGCCGCGCCGGAGTTCGACGTCGTCGTCCTCGGCGGCACGCTCGGCGTCTTCGCCGCGGCCGCGTTCCAGAAGCGGGGCCTCAAGGTCTGCGTCGTCGAGCGCGGCCCGCTCGTGGGCCGGAACCAGGAGTGGAACCTGTCCCTCGACGAGGTCTACGACCTCGTCGAGGCCGGCGCGCTCGAGCCCGGCGACGTCGACGGCGCCGTCGGGTCGCCCGGCAGGTACGAGGTCCTCGCCGGCGGCGCCGGCGACCTCGTCGCGTCGCACTTCGGGAGCGTGCGCGCGGGCTTCAACGACCGCGAGGTCGGGCCGACGGGCTCCGGCGGCGCGCTCCAGGAGGTCTGGCTCCCGAGCGTGCTGAACGTGGGCGTGCGGCCCGACGTCGCCGTCGCGCGCGCGCGGAAAAACCTCGAGGCGCGCGGCGGCGTCGTCCGGGAGCGGACGGCCTGCGAGGGCGTCAGAGTCGGGGCCGGGTGCGCCGTCGTGGCGCTCGCGGGGGGCGAGACCATCGCGGCGCGGCTCGTCGTGGACGCCATGGGCAACGCGTCGCCGATCGCGCGGCAGGCGCGGCGCGAGGCGAACGACGGCGCGGACCCGAAGCCGAGCGGCATCTGCTGCGTCGTGGGCACGCTCATGCGCGGCTTCGACGCCGACAACAGCTTCGGCGACCTCATCTACACGAACGAGGACGCGCGCGTCGGCGGGCCGGACCGCCAGTACTTTTGGGAGGCGTTTCCGGCGATGTCGGTCGGCGCCGACGCGCGGACGACGTACCTCTTCACCTACATGGACGCCGACGAGCTGCGGGAGCACACGGTCCTGGACCAGTTCGAAGACTACTGGGACATGCTGCCCGCGTACCAGCGGCACAACGCGAAAAGCCTCGCGGGCGGCGGGCGCGGCGACGCCGTGGAGCGCGCGCTCGACGCCGGCGACCTGACGCTGGAGCGGTGCCTCTTCGGCCTCTTCCCGACCTTCAAGGACTCGCCGCTGCCGAGCCGCTGGGACCGCGTCCTCGCCGTGGGCGACGCGTCGGGCGTGCAGTCGCCGCTGTCGTTCGGCGGCTTTGGCGCGCTCACGCGCCACCTCGGCCGCGTCACCGACGCCGTCGCGGAGGCTTTGGACGCCGGGGCCCTGGCTAAGGGCGACCTCGCGGCGGTCAACGGCTACGCGCCGAACATCGCGGCGACGTGGATGTTCCAGCGGAGCTTCGTGCACCCCGTCGGTTCAAATCGTCCCGCGGCCTTCGTGAACCGCCTCATGCGCCAAAACTACGAGAACATGGAGGCCCTCGGCGACGACGTGCTGCGGCCCTTCAACCAGGACGTCGTCCAGCCGCGCGCGCTGCTGCGGGTCCTCGCGCTCGCGACGGCGAGGGACCCGCTCAACATCCCCGCGCTGCTCTTCTACATCGGCCCCAAGGAGCTCGCGGAGTGGCTCGGCCACTTCGGGGCCATGCTCGTCTACGACCTCCTCCACCACGCGCTCGGCGCGCCCGTGCGCGGCTGGGCGGACCGGCTCCCGGACGCGCGGAACGCGTACCGCCTCCGGCGCCTCGCCGACGCCTGGGAGTACGGCGCGGGCATGGACTACGGGCACTAACACTACGGCCATACTACACGCCTTTTAGAACACGGCACATTACAGCTCCGTGGGCCGGCGCTTCCGCCGCCGCTTCCTCCGCGGCGGCTGCCCCCGGGACCGCCGCGCGTTCTCGTCCGGCGAGCGCGCGTAGATCTTCTCGTAGAGCTCGTTGCGGTGGCCGTCGTCGAGGTCGTCGGAGACCTTCCGCGCGCGGCCCGCCTCGCTCGCCGCGTAGAAGCGCGCCGCGTCGCCGCCCGCGGGCTTGCAGTAGAGCAGCTCGACCCCGGGCTGCGCGAGGACCCACGCCCGCAGGCCGTCGTCGGCGTCCTCGCCCATGAACCAGACGCGGAGGACCGTGGGCTTGATGTCGTGGACGCGCACGGACGCCATCTCGACGGAGCCGCGGGCGATCGCGGCCTGCCACCTGGCCGCGAGCGCGTTCGCGTCCGCGTCGTCGGCGGCCGTCGCGTCGTTCAGGTGCGCGAACCAGGTCTGCACCGTCGTCCGGCCCGCGGCGCGCGGCTCCGCGGGCGGCGCCTCGCCCCGCGCCTCGGCGAGCTTCGCGTCGACCTGGGCCTTGAGGGACCGGGCGTTCGCCGCCTCGGTCCGCGCGTCGCGCCAGCGCTGCGAGTCCTCGTGCCAGTCCTCGCTGTCGGCCTCGTCGTAGCTCGCCTCGAGGGCCTCGAGGTCCACGGGCCTGTTGAACTCGCTGCTCTTTGCGCTCGCGTATGCGAGCACGAGCAGGAGGGCTGGGCCTCGCCGGGCTGCCATCGCGTTCACGAAGGGCAATGCTGACCTCAGGCATTTGGTTTCTCCACTTGCACGTGACCTACTTACTTAGAAGAGCCTAAGAAGGCGTTGATGTCCTGGCCTGTGTCGTCAGCCAACCGGAGTGGAAACCGAGGCTGAATTAGCCACTTTTCCGAAAGTGAACTAACAGGGCCTAGGAGATTCTTCGTTCCTGGCCGACAGGGCCTACTAAGCGTCGTTCGCGCCGAGGCGGTCGAGGGCTTCGCGGGCGTCGGATAGGGACTGGCGCGCCAAGGGTTTCATCATACCGTCGAGGTTTCCGTATTTGCCACTGGCAATCGCGGATGCCATATTCTCAAGTGCAGTGCCTTTGGCAACCGCGCGCTCGTACCAGCGTCTGGCTTCGTCGAGGTCGCGTTCGATGAAGTTCTCGCCATATTCATAGAATTCGCCCAGTATTTTGTAGCTCTGGATATGTCCTTGGTCAGCGGCGAGCCGCAAGTAGCTGAGCCCTTCCGCTTTGTTTTGTTCAACGAGGAAACCGCCGAGGATGAACTGCCCGTCCGTGTCCCCCCGGTCCGCGGCCATCCGAAACAGCTGCAACGCCTTCTTCAGGTCTACTTTGACACCACCAGCTTCGCGTCCTGGAAAGACTAGACGCCCTAACCTCACCATCGCTTCCACGCTCCCGAGCTCCACGGCGCGCTTGTAAATCTTCGCGGCCTTCTTATACGATTTCACGAGGCCGTTTCGTGTGAAATCACCGTTTTCGTAAGACTGGCCCAGCTGTGAAAGAGCTTCCGGAAGATCATTTTCCACGTGGCGACGCAGCCGCGCCAGCTCCTCCGAAATGCTTTCTGCGCGCGGCGTGCGGCAGAGAGGACATGGCCCATCTCGAACTTTTCCGCGGCAATGAAAGCAAAGAACTCGGCAGCAGCACATTTGAAACACACGCACACAATTCGGGTCCCAGTCCTCTAAACAGACCGGGCAACATGAGCCATACCGCGCCGACTCCAGCTGCCGCTCCGGGTTCGCCTCGCGCCGCGCGCGGGCGGCCTCGTGTTCCGCCGCGATGCGCGCGCGGACCTCGTCGGCGTGCGAACGCGGCGCGGGGCCGTAGACCACCTCCGGCGGCGTCGACGGCGGGGGCGTCGGCGCTCGGTCCCGCGCCGCTTCCGCCCGAATCTTCTTGCACGCCTTTCGGTGTCCGCGGTCGCGCCAGTCGACGCGTTGACAATCCGTCGAGCAGTACCTGCCCGGGTCGCGCGTCGTGGCCGCGCGCCGCCCCCGACCCGTTCGCGCCGGCGCGCACTGTGTCGTCCCGCAGGGGCAGTTGAGCTTGGCCTTCTCGCCGCAGATGGTGCAGGTCAAACGGAGACGCAGTTCTTTCGCCCGGGCCTTGACTAGCTCGAATTCTTTTTGCTTTTTCTGCCAGTCCATCAGCTCCGGGGGGGCGGGTTCGTCTCCGTCTTTTGGCATAATTGCTCCCGCCGCGGGGCGCGTTGTCGGTCTCCTTGCGCCCACACCACTTGGCTCGCTCGCTAAAATTTTAGATCCTCGCCACAAGAATTGTCAAGATCCACAAGCACGCGCGCCGGCCGGCTTGCGAGCTCAAGCCGCGATGAAGGCCTCCTTCTCTACCCTCCTCTTCCTCGCCGTCGGCGCCCAGGCCAACACGCCACCTGTCAAGGTCTCGACCTACGACGCCCTGAACGCAGCCGTTCTCAACGGCGACCACAAGATCTTGGTGGAAAGCGATATCACCTTCGCCGCCCCTATTGAGATCCCCGCGGGCAAGAACATCCGAATCTACGCGAAAAAAAACGCCCGGCAGACGCTCGACGGCAACGGCGAGACGCAGCTCTTCCGCGTCGACGGGACGCTCACGCTCCAACACCTCGTGCTCGCGGAGGGCTACGCGACGAACGGCTTCTGCTCGTACACCGAAAACTCCGGCGAGGCCTGCGGCGGCGGCGCCGTGCACGTCGACGTGGACGCGCACCTCATCGTCGACGGCTGCGCCTTCCGGGACTCGCAGGCGCGCTACGGCGGCGCGATCTACACCTACGGCGGCGCCGTCGACGTCTCCGGCTCGACGTTCACGGAGAACGGCGCCTACGAGGCCGGCGGCGCCGTCTGGACCTACGCGCACGTGGCGCTCTCGATCTCGAACTGCGAGTTCACGGGCAACGTCGCCATCAAGGCCGGCGCGGTCTTCACCGGCGGCGACGCGACCATCGCCGACTCGACGTTCTCGGGCAACGTCGCGACGGCCTCGGAGCCGTCCGACGACGACCACGCGGGCGGCTTCTGGGGCGGCGAGGGCGGCGCGATCTGGGTCAACGAGGACACGGTGCGCGTCGACCGCTGCGCCTTCGAGGGCAACCGCGCGCGCACCGAGGGCGCGGCGATCTACGTCCGGAACCTCGGCGAGGCCGTCGTCGCCGCGACGACCTTTTCGGGCAACCAAGCGGACTGCGACGGCGTCGTGACGACGGGCCGCTACTCCTGCGTCGAGGGCCTCGACGACGTCCACCCGGCGTCGGACCGCGCGGTCGTCGACTGCCGCGACGACTGCCCGGGCGGGAGCGTCGGCGCGTGCGCGCCCGTCGGCGACGGCGTCTGCCAGAGCTGCGCCTGCGAGCTCGAGACGGGCGCGTCGACGGCCCTGGTCCTCGAGGACGTGAACCCCGGGGCCTTCAATGCGAACGCGGACGCGCGCGCGGCGTTCGAGGCGGACGTCGGCGGCCGCCTCGGCCTCGTCGTCGACGGCGACAACGCCATCGACTGGGTCGTCGCGTCGCCCCTCGCGGTCCACGACTACGGCTACACGGACGACGCGAAGGTCACCTTCGGCGTCGCCGGCGACGCGGACGCGCTCCTCGCGGCGCTTCTGGAAGCGCTGAACGTCGGCGGCATCCCCGGCTGGGCCGTGGACCTCGGGCCGCTCGGCGCGGCGCCCGTCGACGTCGCCGCGTCGCGCGAGGCGGCGGAGACGGAGACCTTCGACCGCACGGAGCCCGGCGACACAGCCGTCGCGTCGTCGGCGATCGTCGTCGACGGCCTCGACGCCGCGGACGTCGACGCGGACGGCGACGTGCTCGAGGGCCTCGCCGCGGCCGTCGCACTCGCCATCGGCGCCGCGCCGAACCAGGTCGCCAACGTCGCCGCCAAGTGGTACCCGGCCTACGAGGGCACGGACCTCTACACGAATTTGGCGTCCACGGTCCACTTCGACGTCGCCGTCCGCGCGTGGCCGTGTGGAAATCAAATCTTCAACCCGACTTCAATGTGCGCGTAATCGACCGATTTGGACCAGACTCTTTCGCCGTGCTTCGAGAACTCGCTGAGAGCAATCGATTCGTCCAAAAATCAGCCGAATCGACTTCGATTTGACCGAGCTAGAGAATTCTGAAGTTTGGCCCCGACGTCCCAGCTCACTGGTTGATTTCCACACAGGCGCGTGGCCGACGAAGCACTGGAGCAGCGACTCCTTCACGGACGCCGCGGGGCTCGAGGCCGCGCTCGAGGCGGCCCTCGACGGCGGCGGCCTCGCGGCGGCCGTCGCGAACGAGCGCGCGCTCCGCACCGCCGTGCTCGACGAGGCCGCGACGCGGACCGCGATCGCCGCGCAGACGTCCGCGGGGCCCCACGGCCGGGTGACGCGCGCGACCTCGTCCGCCGTCGTCCTCTCGGGCGTCTCCGCGGCGGCCTTCGCCGACGACGGCGACGCGGCCGGCGCCTTCGCCGAGGCGCTCGCCGACGCGCTCGCGGTCGACGCGGGCGCCGTCTCCGCCGTCGAGGCGACGGCGCCCGGCGCCTACGGGTCGCAGCGGGCGCAGGTCGCCTTCGAGCTCGACGACCGGCGCGACGCGCGCCTCGTGCTCGACGACCTCTACCGCGTCGCGCTCGTCGACACGACGCTCAACGACTACCTCCGCGAGTCCGACGTCGCGGCGCTCCGCGGCGCGGCCATCGACTGGGGGGAGACGACGCGGTCCCTCGAGACGCTGACCTTCACGCACGCCAAGGACGACGGCACGCCCGCCGCGGCGACGCACGCGATCGTACTCGACGGCGTCGCCCCCGACGTGCTCGCGGCCGACGCCGACGCGCTGCGGGCCTTCGCGACGTCCTGCGCCGCGGTCTTAGGCGCGTCGCACCTCCAGGTCTCGGGCGTCACGTCGACGGCCTACCACTACGTCGCCGGCGACGAGTTGTGGGTCGAGTCCTGCCCGACGCTCGAGGCGCTGCCCGAGGACTCGGCGCTGTGCCCCGACGACCTCGACCTCGACGCGTGCGACGCGCCGGGCCGCGCGATCGGCGACCTCTGCGAGGGCGACGGCGAGTGCGGCACGGACAAGCACCTCGACAACTGCGGGAACGCCGACGACAAGAACGCGGACATCTACCGCGTCGTCGCGGACATCTACCGCGGGCCGGCGCACGCGGGCGTCGTGCCCCGCGGCGCGCTCGTCGCCTTCGACGTCGCGCTGCGCGCGTGGCCCGCGCGGTCGACGCCCCTGCGCACGGCCGGCGCGACCAAGGCCGCGCTCCTCGGCGCCCTCGACGGGCCCTTCGCGGACGCCTTCCGCAAGTACGGCGCGGGCACGGCGCTCGCCGGCGCCGCGATCAACTTCGTCGGCTCCGTCGCCGCGCTCGACGGCGAGGCCGTCTGCTGCGCGGCGCCCGACGACGACCACCACGGCGCGCACCACGATCCCGACGACCACGAGTCGGTCCACGACGCCGCCGCGCACCACGGCGCGCACCCCGCGCCCGCCTCCTCCAAGAAGTCGTCGTCGTCGTCCGACTCGTCGGCCGTCGTCGCCGCGGCCGTCGCCGCCATCGGGCTCGTGATCGTCCTCGGCGCCTTCGCCGGCTACCGCGTCCGCCGGCGCTCGTCGCCGCGCGAGACGGCGCACGCGGGCGACGTCGAGCTCGAGGACGTCGAGCCCGACCGGGCGGCGGCCCTGGGCACCTTCCCGAAGGAGCACCCGAGCCGCGTCTCCGACTCGCGCCTCTTCCCGATCAAGCAGGCCCACCGCGAGACCAAGTCCCCCCTCTACCCGAACGCGGAGATGATCTGAGCGCGTTTCCAAGTAGTGCTCGAGAGGTCTAAATACACATCCCATGTTGTTTTTAGCGATTATCCACAAAAACCAGGGGCGGCAGACTGATCGAGGAGGAGACGGCGACGAAACGATGGACCAAACAAACGAACGGAGTAATACGACAGAAGATGAGCGCGGGGAGCCGGAATGGAGGATCAAACAGCGAGAATTCGAGCAGAGGAAGGCGCGGGTCAAACTCGATCTCAAGACCTGCACGATTTGCGGCGCAGAGAACGCCAAGCTATGCAAGGGCTGCGGCTCCGTGGCGTACTGTTCGACTGCTTGTCAACGAGTCGACTGGCGCGAGCGGGGTCACCGGAAGGCGTGCAACAAGATCCGAGACGAACGCGCGGCGGAAGCGGCGCGGGCGGAAGCGCCGCCGTCGCCGCCGCGCGCGGTGTTCTACGGCCCCGCGCCGCGGTCGCACGCCGACGAGGTCCGCGCGCGCATCGCCGCGGAACACGAGATCGCTCGAGCGTTGCGCGAGGCGAACCCGGAGCCGGAGCAGGTGAATGGGCGGTACGGTTCGCGGTGCCCGATCTGCTTTGACGACTGGGTCAATATCCACGACGTTAACATCAGAAGCTGTTGTTCTCGCCAAATCTGTCAACAGTGCGCCGCCAAGTTTCGAGGTAAGCCGTGTCCTCTCTGCCGAACGCCGGCATCCCAAACTTATGCTGAAGAATTGGCAAGAATCCAACGCCACGTGGATAACGACGTCCCGGAAGCGATGGCGCAGCTGGCAACTTTACACAGTGGCGGTAGACTCGGCCTCGTGAAATCCGGCCAGAAGGCCAAGGCGTTACTCAAGCGTGCCGTGGCCCTCGGATTTGTACCAGCGATGGCACAGCTTGCAATTCTATACCGAGACGGGGACGGCATCAAGCCAGACCGAAGGAAGGCGAAGCGGTTGTTTCGCGCGGCCGCGGACCGTGGTCATGCAAACGCTCAATTTCAGTTGGCGAGGCTGCTTTATTATGACAATTATCAGGATAGCTCATGGGACATGGAGGACCACCTGCACTGGCTCAGAGCTGCCGCAGCGCAGCGCCATGCTGAGGCGGAATATATGCTTGGCTGTCACAGCGCGTCTGGCGACGGCAAACCTGGAGAGGAAGACCTCGACGAATGCAGACGCTGGTTGGCGCGCGCGGCCGACCATGGAGACAAAAAAGCGAGATATGTGCTCGACCGGCTGACTGGTGTCGTGGATCCCGGCGTCGCTGTCGCTCTCTTCAAAGCGGCGCCGGCGGCGACGGCGCCCGGGCGCACTGGCTGACCTCAAAGAGCTGCGATGCATGCCTGTTTTCTTCGCCCAATCCTCAGCACCAGTCGCTGTTATGCCGCCGCAAGCGCGCGTAAAAATCGGGAACGCGGCGCGCCCTAGTGGTCGTCGAAGCGGCGCGCGGACGCGAGCGCGGTCGCGAGGGAGCCGTCGGCGAAGGCGGCGTAGAAGGTGAGGACGATGGCGGCGAGGACGGCGAGGAGCGCGTGCTGGAGGATCGCGGCGGGCCGCGCGTCGCCCGCCTGGGACCGGAGCGCGGCCGCGACGGCGAAGACGGCCGCGGCGACCTTGAGGTAGGCGACGTCGATGCGCTCGTGCGCGTACGTCGCCGCGTCGGCCCCGGCGACGGCGTCCGCGGGCGCCTTGCGGCCCACGACCAGATCCAGGCCGTCCTGGCGCGACCCGTCGTAGATGGCCGCGCGCAGGCCGCGGACCGCGGCCGCGGCCCACCCGCCCGCGCGGTCCGCGAGCCGCGCCGCCGCGCCCCCACCCGCCGCGGGCGCCCAGCGCGCCGCCGTGCCCGCGCGGAGCACGGCGAGGGCGTCGGCGTGGCCCCGCCAGGCGGCGAGGAGCTGGCGCCGCGCGTAGGCCTCGTCGCCGAGCGCGACGCGGTCCGGCCCGAGCGCCGCGTCGTCGCGCGCGGCGACCAAAGCGTCGCACGCGCACCGCGCCATGGCCTCGTCGACGTCGTCGATCTCGTCGCAGCCCACGAAGAGCACGACGCCGCTCACGTCGACGCCCCCCGGCTCCGCCGCGGCGCCGCGGCTCGCGACGCGGCGGCGGCGCACGTCGTGCGCCGCGGACAGATCCCCCAGATCCGCGCCGGGCGCGACGACGACGTGGCGCACCTTGGCGCCGCGCGCCGCCGACGCGAGCACCGCCGCGGCGGCCTTGAGCCGCTGGCGCACGGATTCCTGCCGCCCGCCGTCGACGGACGCCCAGGCCGCCGTCCGCGCGATGAGGTCGACCATCGTGACGAACGCGCCGCCGTACGTCGCCCGGAGCTGGTCGACGTGCGCCTCGAGCGCCGCGACGTCGCGCGCGTGCTGCGACGGCGCGGGCTTCGGTCCCGCCGCCGACGGCGCGCGGGGCCGCCGCGGCGACGCCGACGCGTCGGGCGCCGCGGGCGCGCCGCCGTCGTCGAGGGGCGCGAGCTCGGGCGTCGGCGCGAGCGTGGGCGCGAGGCTCGGCTTCCGCTGCGGCGACGCCAAATTCGCGAACGACGACTTGCGCTTGAGCAGCGCGACGCGCGGCGCGACCTTGACGGCGTAGTCCAGCGGCAGCGGCGGGCTCGACCGCGCCAAGGTCACGGAGAAGGCCGCCGCGGGCGCGGCCCGGGATTTGGACGTCGCGACGAGCAGCTCCGTCTCCGCGGTCGCGGCGGCCTTGCACTGCGCGTCCAGGCCCCGCTTCGACAGGCGGCGGCCGCAGTGGTCCACGGCCGTCCGCGTGACGATGAGCGCGACGACGGCGGCGTCGCCCGCGGCCGTCGCGCCGAGATCCACCGCGTCGACGACGACGTGGCCCGCGACGGCGCACCACCGCGCGGCACCCGCGTCGACGAGCGCCTTGAGCGGGATCGCGTTCCAGAGCATGCGCGGGTCCGCGTGGTCGTAGAGGTAGGAGTCGCCGCCGCGGTCCGGCGCGTCGTCGTCGACGTCGCCGCGGCGCCGGACGCCGTCGTTCGCGACGACGGCCGCGGCCTCGGCCGCGGCGACGTCCGCGAGCTCGCAGACGCGCGGCGCCGTGTGCGTCGCCGCGGGCGACCGCGTGCTGTAGACCCAGGGCTGCTCGCTGAGGGCCCGGTGCAGGAGCCGCAGGCAGAGCTTCTCGTCGGCCTTCTGCTTCGAGTTGAGCCGCTTCGCGGACTTGGGCGCGACGGGCAGCACGCCGACCTTGGTCGCGCGGCGGAGCGCGCGGACGTCGAGCACGGCCTTGGGCCAGCGGAGCCGCGCGTCGTCGAGCAACGCCGCGTCGCCGCCGCGCCGGAGCACGGGCTCGCTCGAGAGCACGACGGCGACGTGCGGGCCGGACGTCATCTCGTAGACGCCGAGCACGGCCTCGCAGGGCACGCGGCCGCTCGCCTCGTGCGCGAGCTCCGGCGTGGCCCACTCGTAGGCGTCGTCGTCGGCCTCGGGGCTCGGCGGCGCCGGCGCCGGCGCGGGCGCGTCGGGAGCCTTGGCCTTCTTCTTCCCGAAGCCGAACTTGGGGCTCTTCTTCGGCGACTTCGGCCGCTTGCCCGCGGGGCTCAGGTCGCCGTCGGACTGCGAGCCGGGCGACTCCGGGCTCGCGGGCCGCCGCACCTTGACGGGCTGCACGACCTTCGCGACGACGCCGGCCTTGTTCGACGTCAGGAGCAGCGGCGCGAGGCCGGGCTCCGAGCTCTCCAGGAGCACGCCGTCGCCGTGCGCGCGCAGCCACCGCGTCGTGTTCGCCCAGCGCGGCGCGCGCGCGCGCGGCGGGGACGCCGCGCCCGGGGCGCCGCCCTTCACGGGCGTGACGGGCGGGGCCATCGATCACACGCGCGGCACGAGGGGCTGCTTCGCGGCGCGCGCGGGCCGCTTCGATGCGTCGGGCGGCGGTGGCGGCGGCGCGTCGACGAGCGCGTCGATTGATGCCACACAGGCCGCGACTCTGTGATTTATCCACAGGCCCGGCAAGTGCAACACGAATCTTCAACTTGCACTGCAACCCGGGCGCCGCTCTCGCAGCCCGACGCAGCAAGACGAGCCCGCGGCAACGCCGGAGGAGGAACAAGCGAGAGTCTTCGAGTACATGTTCGCCCAGAGCCCATTCCTCGTGCACGACTGAGGGCTGCCCGAATTGCAATCCTCGGCAGCCCGCCTCGGCTGCCCGAATTGCAGACCTCGGCGGCCCGAATCCCCGGGATGGGACGCGCGCCGCCCTGGTGGTGCGCCCTCGCCGCCGCCGCGGCGCCGACGGACCACGTCGACGTCTTCGTCGGCACGGTGAAGACCGGCAACACGTTCCCGGGCGCGACGTGGCCCCACGGCCTCGCGCAGCTGTCGCCGATCCTGGAGCCGCCGCGGGGCATGCTCTGGCACTACAACTCGGGCTACCACGTCGAGCCCGGCGCGACGTCGTCGCGGGCCCGGGGCATGGGCCACACGGCGCTCTCGGGCACGGGCCTCAACGACGGCGGCGACTTCGTGCTGCGGCCCTGCGAGCGCCTAGCGCGGCTCGACCACGGCTCCGAGACCGCGCGGCCGGGCTTCTACGCGGCGAGGTTCGCCTGCGAGGGCGGCGGCGGCGCGGCGACGATGGCCGCGGCCGCCGCGCCGCGCGGCGGCGTCTTCGAGGTCGACTTCGACGGCGACGGCGACGTCGTGTCGCTCTACCTCGACGCGGCGTCGCCCCTCGACGCGGTCCTCGAGGCCTCCGCGGCCGTCAAGGGCGCGACGCTCGCCGCGACGCGGTCCTCGAGGCACACGCACCACTGCGCGGCGGACCACGCGACCTTTCTCCACGCGACGTTCTCGTCGCCGCCGTCGCTGGCCCAGCTCTCGGCGACGCTCTGGCGCCTCTCGTTCCGGCGCGGCGACGGGCCGCTCGTCGTCGCCGTCGGCCTGAGCCACGCCTCCGCGGCGGGCGCGGCGCGCAACGCGCCGCAAACGCCCGCGTCGCTCGCGGGCCAGGCCGACGCCGCGGACGGACAAGGGTGATTCAACGTCGCTTCAACGTGAGTGTTCCGCGCGCGCGCGTTCCGGAAAAAGCATCCACGCGTCGAGACCGTTCCGAGAGATGATCGCTCGTCCAAAAATCAGCCGAAACGAGTGGAAACCGGCCGAGCTAGGAGCCTTTGAAGTTGGGAATTTCGCACTCTTGTCCTGCCCAGGCCGACGCCGCGGACGCCGCCTGGGCCGCGCTCCTCGGCCGCGCGCGCGTCCGCGGCGACGACGGCGACGTCGGCCGCTTCTACACGGCGCTCTACCACGCGTTCCTCGGGCCGACGCTCTTCTCCGACGCCGACGGGTCCTACGTCGCCCGCGGCGCGCGGAGGCGCGCGGCCGAGGGCCGCGCGATCTACTCCACCTTCTCCCTCTGGGACACGTACCGCGCGGCCGCGCCGCTCGGCCTGCTCCTCGAGCCGGAGCGCGCCGCGGACTACGCGCGGAGCCTCCTCGCGTTCTCCACGGAGGACAAGGTGCTCCCGCGCTGGGTCTTGTTCGGCAAGGACACGGGCTGCGCGCGCGCGGCGTCCGAGGCGCCCGCCCGAGGCGACGTTTTTTTCGACAGGCATGTCGGGCTACCCCGCGGCCGTGGTCTTGGCGGACGCCGTGCTCAAGAATCGGTCGGAGTTCCCGCCGGGCCTCGCGGCGCGCGCGGCGGAGCACGCGATCGCGACGGCGCGCGCCTTCGACCCGGCGCTGCGCCGCAACGCCCACCTGCCGAGCACGCAGGGCTTCTCCGTGTGCCGCGGCGGCGTCCCGGCGCGCGCGACGGACCCGCCGCCACCGGTCGCCGCCCGCGCAGGTCGCGGGGCCTGGAGGCCGCCGTCGCGGACAAGTGCGTGTCGCGCCTCGCGGCGCGCTCGGCGACGCCGCCGCCGCGGCCGAGTTCGAGCGGCGCGCGGGGCTCTACCGCGAGTACTACGACGCGGACCGCAGGCTCATGGCCGCGCGCGAGCCCGGCGGCGCCTTCGTCGCGGCCGCGGGCGAGGCCTTCGACCCCGCGGGCGCCTTCGAGGAGGGCACGCCGCTCCAGTACACGTTCATGGTCCCCGGGGACGCGGAGGGCCTCGCCGCGCTCCTCGGCGGGCCCGACGCGCTCGGCGACCGCCTCGACGACTACTTCCTCCGCGCGTCCATGGCCAACCCGACGCGCCAGCTCGACCTCACGACGGGCACCATCGGCGGCCACTGCCAGGGCAACGAGCCGGGCCACCACGCGCCCTACCTCTACAACGTCGCGAACCGGCCCTGGCGGACCGCGGAGACGATCGACGCGATCAACGAGCTCTACACGGCGTCGGAGATCCCCGGCAACGACGACGTCGGCCAGACGTCCGCGTGGTTCGCCTGGTCCGCGCTCGGCCTGTACCCGGTGGACCCCTGCGGCGACCGCCTCCACCTCGGGAAGCCGCTCTTCATGCGCGCGGACGTTGACGTCCGCGCCACCCTCGACGGCGCGGCGCGCGTGCTGACGATCCTCGGCGACGGCTGCCGCGACCGCGGCGCCCACGTCCAGTCCGTCTGGTTCGAGGGCTCTCGCGTCGCGGCGCACGAGGTCGCCTGGGCCGACGTGGCCAACGGCGGCGTGCTGCGCTTCGTCTGCGGCGCGCCGGCCGTCGACTACGCGACCGCGCCGCCGCCGCCGGCGCCGCGGCTCCGCGCGGCCGCCGCCGGCCGCGGCCCGCCGCTCGCGGCGCGCGGCGCGGCGGCCGCGGCCGTCGCCGCCGTCCTGCTCCTCGCGCGGCGGAGCTGCCGGCAGGGCGCGAGCGCCATCGCCGCGCCGCCGCCCGCGAAAGAGATGTAGGTCGCGAGACGCCGGCTAAAGGGAGCCGTGTTGTGATGTCGTGGTGCCGATGCCGCTTGTTTGTGCGCTCCTCGGGAGCCCCCCCGAGGCCCGGTGCGGCTTTAGTGGGCCCCCCATGCCTTGCTCGCCGGCACCCCACGAACCCCCCTGGATAAGCAACCCCCCATGCCGGTGTGCGTCGCCTAATGCGCCCGAGACTCGAGAAACGCTAGGACGAGCGTCCCGATCGAGTTGACAGCTTCTTCTCTTGCGCGCGCGCGGCGTCACATGCCACCCACCCTCCCGCCCGGCCCTTCTCCATTCTGGGGGGGGGGCATCATGGCCTCGTCGAGAGCCCGTGGAACGAGAGCGCCCGTTTCGCAAGTGCGGCTCGAGGGCCGCGGCGAGATCGAGCACGCGCGGACACCCCGAGCGCGAGGTGCCCGCGCGCATGCGCGAGCCGAGAGCTTGCGCGGGGGCGCCGGCGCGGGCGTGGCGAGAAATCGCTTCGCGGTCGCGCGGTCGCGCTCGTTCGACGAAACGAGTGCCGTCCTCGTAGGTCAAGATGGTGTGTGTGTGGCGACTTGTCCTGGCGACGTTCGCGTGCGTGGGGAAGTCCGAGGGGTTCTGCTGCTGGTGGTCTGCGACGGGGGACCCGTGCGACTGCTCGGAGACGTCGAAGGCCAGCAACCTCGCGACCTCTCTAGCGTGCGTCGACGGCGGAGGCTCGTGGTGCTCGGAGGACGGCGAGCAGTCCGCGCCGGAGGACGGCGAGCAGTCCGCAGCGGTCCGGCGAGGCAGGGCCGTCCGCGCGCGTCCGGGGCCGCGCCACAAAGCGCCGGTCGGCCGTTTTCACGCCGGGGCTCCGCCGCGCACCATCGCGGCGCCGGCCTACAGCGAGGAGGAGGTGAGCGCCCTGCGCGGCATCTTCGCGCTCTACGACCCCGACGGCACGGGCGAGATCGGGTCGAACGACCTCGAGAACCTGTTCAAGAAGATTGGCTTCTTCAATTATGCCGCCGTCGAGCTCATCAAGCAGTTCGACGTCGAGGAGCCGAAGACGATCGACTTCGCCAAGTTCCTGGAGATGGTCAAGGCGGGCCAGCCGGACCAGCCCGGCGAGGAGCCCGACCGGAAGCCGCTCGATGGCGGCGAGCAGTCCGCGCCGGAGGACGGCTCCTCCTCGTGCGCGTGCCGCTCGATTATGGCGGGGATCATCGACGAGTGGTGCCAGCTGTCCGATTGCGATCCTGCATTTGCCGCGCAGTGCTCTTCTGCGTGCCCGACGGCGCCAGGAGCGACGCCGGATGGGTGTGAACGAAATTGGTTATTTCAAGTCAGCACCGGTCGTTCCGGAAGCACGAGTCTAATGGCGATGTTGAACGATCTCCCAAATGTCTACATCGCGGGCGAAAATGATGGTTTATTTGAATCCTTGTACGCCTTACACAAGTCGAGCATTCGTACTGAACGCGAGAGCAAGAACGGGGTCTACCATGGTGCGTGGTGGCACCATCCTGTTGAGAGATCAAAACTTAGACGGAGCGCGCGAACCTACGTTGAATCTGCCATCGGTCTCAAACAAAATCAAAACTACACATGGGTCGGCTTTAAAGAAATCCGATTCAGAACTGCCGACGAGTTGGACTATATTTTGTCTCTTTTTCCTTGCTCCAAAGTTATCGTCAATATTCGTCGAGACGTCGCTCAACAACAGAAATCCGCGTTCGAAAAAACAATCCCCATTTGGAAACTCAAATCTCACAACGATATGCTCTTAAAATGGAGCACAAAACATCGTAATCGCGTCTTCACGCTCGCTTTAGAAGACTTTACCCTTGCCAACTTGAATCGTCTGGCGGTTTGGCTCGACTTTCCAAACTGTCATTTCAAACAAATCGCTCATGCGAACCGCGACGGTGGGTATGGAGCTGATAATCGTCACTTTGTGACTTGTTGAAATACAAACCCTCACACGCGAATTCTACTCACTATAAAAACTCATTTCTCTCCCCCACATGAATGCTCATATACTCGTACTCGGGAGGTCTGAGGGACCGCACGCGTCGGCGCTGGGATTCGACGACAGGGCCGTCGATCCATAACGAGGCCCCCTCCTCGGGATATGCTACTCGCCTGTGTGCGAATCAGGTGCGCATCTTCGCCTTAGGCGCCCCTACCACGGGCTCTCTCTCACGGGGCGTCTCCGCGCGCACGATCCGCGGGCGTGGTACGCGTCGGCGACGTCGGCGGCGAAGGGGGCGACGCAGGCGACGGCGCCGACGGCGACCGCGGCGGCCTTGGCCGCGCCGACGACGCGGTCGATGGGCGCGTCCGGGACGAGGCCCCGCGCCGCCTGCCTGCCGCCGTCCGCCGCGACGGCCGCGAGCGCCCAGGCGACGACGAAGCCGTAGAGCGGGTCGCCCGTCGTCCGGAGCACGTAGGCCGCCGCGGCCGCGGCGACGGCCACGGAGCCGAGGGCCCCGGCCTCCTTGACCCGGAGGTCCGCGCCGCGGAGCGCGAGGTACTTGTTGATGTTCACGAGCGTCGCGCACGTGACCCACGCGAAGTGGAGCGACAACGGCCAGCGCACGAGGAGGTCGTTGCGCAGGCCCCGGAGCGGGCCCGCGGCGTAGAGGTCGAGCCCCTGGAGCGCCGCGTGGGCCTTGCCGAGGAAGAACGCCGTCGCGGCCAGCGCCGCCGACGGGATCCAGAGCGCGCCGGGGCCGCAGACCGACGGCCGGAACAGCCCGCACCAGGCGACCTGGCAGAGCGTGCCCGCGCACCAGGGCGCGGCGATGGCCGCGCCGACGTCGAAGACGGGGTGGCCCGGGTCCGCGGCCGTGACCAAAAGCATAGTGACGCACTCGCCGAGGAAGATGGGGCCCCAGATCGCAAAGGCCCAGCCCGCGGGCGCGAGCAGGTTCGCCGTCGCCGCCGTCGGCGCGCCGTCGCCGCCGCCGTCGTAGCGGCCGGGCACCATGACGGCGACGTTGTTCAGCGTCCAGCACGCCGCGACGGCCGCCTGCCACGGCGCGGGACCCCGGCGGGCGACCGCCGCGCGGACCGCCGTCGTCGCCAGGCCCGCGGCGGCGTAGGCCGCGACGACCTTCGGCGACAGCGGCGGCTGGGCCGGCCGCGCGTCGCCGCCGCGCAGGCCTTCGAGCGCGGCGCCGTTGCCGCGCGCCTCGGCGTGCGAGCGTTGCAGCTCGGTGATGTATGCGGCGGCACTGAGGCCTTCGAGCTCAACGTCCGCGCGCTCGAGCGCTCCGCGCCGTTGCTGCGCAGCTCGACGCCAGGCGTACGCGGCGGCGCTGATGCCTTCGAGCGCGGAGTGCTCCGCGCCGTTGCTGCGCAGCTCGCTGACGCCAGGCGGACCGCGAGGCTCGTGCAAGGCCGTCGCCGAGCACGCGAGAAGTAGGATCTTTGAGAGAGCCATTTGAGTTGGCAGCGTCAACGTCGTTCTTGAACTTCAATCAATTGATTGAGACCTCACCTGATCCGTATTCACCAAAGCAATTAGGTAGTACGATGCCCCAGTTTCACCAAGGCAGCCCCGCGCCGCCGGTGGCCGGCGCCGAGGCGATGAACGGCATGAAGCGCAGCGTCGCGCGGAGCCACAGCAACCAGCGCATGGGCAGCGCCTCGGGCGGCTCGCGCCTCGCCCGGACGCCGAGCGGAAAGGCGACCGTGAGCCGCATGAACTCGAAGCAGCGCGTGACCAACGCGGCGAGCGCGCGCCTCGCGAGCGGCGAGAGCGTGGCGCTGCGCGACGTCAACGGGAACACGGAGCAGGTCATCCAGGCGCTGCAGAACATGATCTCCGACAAGACGGGCAACTCGGCGACGGGCGCCGCCTTTCTCCGCGCGCTCGTCTTCGACGAGGCCGCGGACGCGGTCGTCGACCACAAGGTCGCCAACGCGCGCAAGATGTTCGACCCGGAGCTGAACATCTCGCTCATGCGCGCCGCGCAGCTGCCGCCGGACATGCGCGGCCGCGCGGAGATGCGGACGATCGCGCGGCACCTCGGCTGGCACCCCTTCTTCTCGTCCGTGCGCGGCTACCTCAAGCAGAAGCTCTTCCGCAACATCCGCCTCGTGTCGCCGCGCCTCGGCGACGTCGTCGTGCTCCAGGGCGACCTCGCGGACTCCATCTTCATCTGCTACCACGGCATCTTCGCGGTGCACTCGGCGAGCGACGAGGACCTGTTCACGATCCGGCGGCGGCGCGACCGCGTGCTCGCCATCCCCGTGGCCTCCTCCGAGGACGCCTACACGCGGTCGTCGGAGAAGAAGCTGGGCCCGCGCGTCGCGACGCTCAAGCGCGGCAACTCCTTCGGCGAGCGCGGGCTCTCGCCGGCCGTGTCCGAGGTGCGCAACGCGACGGTCGCGGCGTTCAGCGACGACTGCCACCTCTTCTGCATCCACCGCGAGGACCTGCTGGGCGACGGCGGCGTGACCGCGGAGATGAAGCGGCGGCGGCCGACGAACTTCGGGGAGGCGGGGCCCGACGAGCTCCTCCTCGAGGTGCTGGGCAAGCCCGCGAATTTAAGGACCCAGGGCGACATCGAGCTCATCGCGACCAAGTGCGGCTGGCACGCCTTCTTCGAGGGCGCGGACCCCGAGGCGACGCGCGTCGTCTTCCGCCAGCTCAAGGTCGTCCGCGCGCCGCCGGGCCGCGTCGTCCTGTGCCGAATTCAACCACTGGTTTGGGTGGTCCTGACCAAACTTGAGAATTCTCTAGCTCGGTCAAATCGAAGTCGATTCGGCTGATTTTTGGACGAATCGATTGCTCTCATCGAGTTCTCGAAGCCAAGCCAAAGAAGTTGCGTCGAAACATTCGCGTACGCTCACATTGAAGTCGGGTTGAAGATTTGAATTCGGCACAGGCGTCGTCGTGCTCCAGGGCGACCTCGCGGACTGCTTCTACCTCGTCTACTGGGGCGGCTGCAGCGTCTGGGCCACGCCCAAGGCCAAGGCGCTCAACCAGTGGAAGGGCCTCAATTTGTGGATCCCCGAGGACGGCGCCGACGACGGGAAGCCGCGCGTCTGCAAGCTGCCCGTCGCGCTCCGTGTGGAAATCAAATATTCAACCCGACTTCAATGTGCGCGTATGCGACGGTTTCGACGCAAGCTCTTCTGCTGTGCTTCGAGAACTCAATGAGAGAAAACGATCCATCCAAAAGTCAGCCGAAACGACTTCGATTCGACCGAGCTCGAGAGTTCTGAAGTTTGGTGGGGACCCCCCATACCAGTGGTTGATTTCCGCCCAGGTCGCGCTCGCGGGCAAGCAGGTCGCGAAGCTCGAGACGGGCCAGAGCTTCGGCGAGAGCGGCCTGGACCCGGCGGGGAACAAGCGCCGCACGGCGTCGATCATCTCCATGGGCGCGCGCGCGCCGCGCGGCGACGGCTCGCCCATCCGGCCCGACGCGCCGCGCGACGGCGACACGCTCCTCCTCGTCGTCTACCGCGACGACATCGACAACCGCACGCAGCAGGCGGCGAACGCGACGCAGGACGCCGCGCGGCGCGCGTCGTTGAGCGGCGCCGTCGACGAGGCGACGGGCGAGCGGCTCACGCAGGCGCAGATCGACGAGGCCGCGGACGACCTCGCCATCGCCGAGTCGGAGGTCGCGCGGCGCAAGACGGAGTGCCAGTCTTTGGAGGCGCGCGACGTCGCGCCCGCGCGCGAGCGGCGCCGGTCCTCCGTCGTCGCGCGCGAGACCGAGGAGCAGGCCGAGCGCAAGTCGCGCGCGTCCGCGCTCCGGAGCCGGCTCTCCGCGACGGGCGGCGGCGTCCGCGCGCGCAAGTCCCTCCGGAGCCGCATCTCCAACGCGGGCGCCGAGGACCAGCTCAAGGGCATCGCGGCCCTCGCCCTCGCCCACGAGGAGCACCGCGGCGACACCATCGACGAGGAGGACAGCGGCGACTCGTCCACGGGCGACGAGTCGTCGGGCGACGACCTCGAGGACTCGCTCGAGGACGCGTCGCGCGACCTCGACGACTCGGCGGAGGCGTCCGCGGGCAAGGCCCCGGAGGAGCCGCCGGACGCCGACGACGCGGGCATCGACGTCAACGACGAGGAGCTCGAGCGCGACTGGAACAAGTGGCGCCGCGTCGCCTACGTCGTCGAGCTCGAGAACTACGACAAGCTCACCAAGGGCGGCCGCATGACGAAGATCCGCGACTCGAAATCGAAGAAGAAGCGGGGCACGTCGGCCCAGCGCAAGGGGTCCGGCGCGCCGAGCGGCAGCGGCGACAGCGACCTCGACGCGGCCGTCGCCGCGCGGCGCCGCAAGGAGTCCGTCTCCGACGGCGGCCCCGACGAGGACGCGCCGGGGAAGGACGAGGAGGAGCGGCCGGCGGAGCCGACTTAAGGTGCTAGGCAGTAGCGCGCGGCGGCGGCCGCGGCGGCCGCGGCGCACGCGACCTGCGCGGCGAGCTCGGCGCGCAGGCGCCACTTCTCCGCCGCCGCGTTCCGCCGCGCGTCGGCCTCGCGCGCCGCGAAGCGGTCCGAGGAGAAGACGGTGTGGGCCGGCGACGCCGCGGACGCGAGGAATCGCGACCGGCCGAAGCGCCAGCCGACGCCGGAGACGTGCGCGTACTCCCGGCGCACGTTCGCCGCGTAGCGCAGGTACGTCGGCCGGTCCGCCGCGAGGATGGCCATGTCGAAGTCCATGAAGAGGCGGCAGTCGCCGCCCGCGTCGGCGCCGCAGCGGTGCGTGAACGTGAGCTCGATCCACCGGACCACCCGCTCGCGACGCGGCGCGGAGAACGCGACGGGGTTGACGGCCTCCCTGGCGAAGGCGGCGAAGCGCTCGGCGGACCGGCGCTCGTTGGCGCCGCCGCCGCCGTGTTTGGCGTCGTAGACGACGTCGTGGAAGAACGTCGCGAGCTCCACGGCCTCGGCGTCGTCCAGCGCGTCGCGCGCGTCGAACGCGAGGGTCAGCATGGCGTCGACGTGCTCGAGCGTGTGGTAGAAGCGACCCGGGCCCTCGTAGCTGTCGCGCAGCTCCCGCCACCAGGCCTCCGCCGCGTCGTCGGCGACGTGCAGGCTGTGGCAGAGCGCGAACCACCGGCGCCGCGTCCGCTCGACGACGGCGGGAGACGTTTTGCATGCGTAGCACTTGTTCGGCATCATCGCGGCCATGCCGCTGTGGTGTTTCGCCTCAGACGGCTGCTGTTACGGGGAGCTTCACGCAGCACCCTCGATTTTTACCGCAAGGACGATCAAGGGGATCTTCAAGATACTTGAAGATCCCCTTGGGACGATGAACCTTTGATGATGCCGCCAAACGTGCCGCTAACACCGAAGGGATGAAAGCCAGCCCAGTAATCCAGTAGGGAGGCTGCCCGCCAGTAGGCGAGGCTGCCTCCAAAAGAGGGATGTCGGAGGCCATGTTCGCGGCGGCGACGGCGGCGCTCCAGCAGGCCGTCGCCCTCTCGCGCGAGGAGCGCGACGGCGCGCTCGCGACGGCGGCGCAGGAGGTGCGGGCGCGGGAGACGGCCGTGCGGGTGCAGGGCGAGCTCGAGGCCATGGTGGCGCAGGCGACGGCGCAGCGCGAGGCCTGCGCCGCCGAGGCGAGCGCCGCGGCGGACCGGGGCGCGGCGTCGGCGGCGGCGGCGGCGGCGGCGGCGGCGCGGAGCGAGGCGTGCGAGGCGTCGCTCGTGGCCGTCGGCGCGGAGCGCGACGCCTGGGCGTCGCGGGCCGCGGAGCTCGAGGCGTCGCTCCAGTACGTGGAGGCCGCGCGCGAGGCCGCGGAGGCGCGCGCGGCCGAGGCCGAGGACGCGCTCGCGGCGTCGGCCGCGCGCGCCGGGAGGCGGCGCTCGAGACGCTGCGGCGCGACTGCGTCGCCGAGGCGAGCCGCCAGCTCGCGGCCGACGCCGCGCGGTCCGAGGCCCGGGGCGACGCCGACGCCGCGCGGGCCCGGGCCGACGCCGCGCGCGCGGAGGACGCGGCGCTGTCCGCGCGCGCCGCGGACGTCGCCGCGCGCGCGCTCGCGGCCGCGTGCGCGGCCGCGGCGGAGGCGCGCGTCGCCGAGGCGTCGGACGCGGCGCTCGGCGCGTTCACGGCCGCGTCCGCCGACGACCGGCGCCGCGTCGTCGAGGCCTGGGCCGAGGACCGCGCTGCGACGACGACGCGGTTCCTCGAGCGCCTCGAGGCCCTGGACCGCGAGCTCGCCCTGGAGCGCGCGGCGGCGGAGGTGGCGGCCTTCGCGCTGAGCGACGCCCTCGAGGACCTCGCGCCCGTCGCGGCGATCCTCGAGATCGAGGGCGAGGACCGCGGGTCGCGGTCCGCGTCGCTCGAGCGCGCCGACGACTGCGAGACGCTCTACCACCCCTTCCCGACGCTCCTCGTCGAGCGGCCGCGCGAGGCGCCGCGGCCCGCGTCGCCCGCGGGCGCGGACCCCGTCGGCGTCGAGGGCCCCGTCGACGATGGCCCGGGCAAGGTTGATCCCGCGCCGCGGCTCCGGCTGCTGGCGGCGACGCTGCGGCGCCGGTCGGCGGCGCTGCGCGGGGCCATCGAGGACGCCGTCGCCGCGTGCGACGCCGCGGCCGTCGCCGCCTACGAGGCCGAGTGCGAGGCCGAGCGCGCCGCGGCGGAGCTCGCGGCGGAGGCGGAGGAGGAGGAGGACGACGACGACGGCGCGTCGTCGAGCCGGTCGTCGGCGTCGCCGGCGGCGGCGCTCGAGGCGGCGCCGGGGACGCCGCGCGCGCGGGGCAAGAAGCGGTGCTCCGTGGACCTGCTGTCGCCGCCGAAGCGGTGGCGCGAGGCCGCGGCGACCGGCGCGGCCGCGCCGCTCCGCGGCGGCGACCTCGCGGGCGTCTGCGACGACGTCGAGGCGCGCGCCGAGGAGGACGACGGCGGCGACGGCGCCGTCAAGGTCTGGGTGCGCGTGCGGCCCGTCAAGGCCGGCGACGACGCGGAGGACGTCCTCGACGCGGACGGGTCCGCGCTCGTGCTCCGGGACCCGGCGATCCCGGGCCTCGTGCAGCGCTTCGACTTCGACGGCGTGCTGGACTCGCGCGCGGGCGCGACCCAGCGGCGCGTCTTCGACGACGTCGGGCGAGACGTCGTGCTCTCGGCGTTCCGAGGCTTCAACACGACGCTCTTCGCGTACGGCCAGACGGGCTCGGGGAAGACGCACACCATGGTCGGCGACGACGACCGGCCGGGCCTCGTGCCCTTCGTCGCGACGGCGCTCTTCGCCCTCGAGGCGCGCCGCGCGGCGCGCGACGGCGACGACGGCGACGACGACGCGCCGTACCTCGCGGCGCGCGGCGAGCGGCGCGTCGACGCGGCCTACCTGGAGATCTACCAGGACCAGCTCCGCGACCTCCTGGGCGACGACGACGACGCGGCGGCGCTGAAGCTGCGGGAGCACCCGAAGCGCGGCGTCTACGTCGAGGGCCTCACGCGGTGGGCGCTCGAGTCGCCGCGGGAGCTGCTGGACCTGCTGGAGGTCGGCGCGGCGCGGCGCACGGTGGCGGCGACGCGCATGAACCGCGACTCGTCGCGGTCGCACGCGGCGCTCTTCCTGACCTTCGACGACGGCCGCGGCGCGTCGACGCAGCTGACCTTGGTGGACCTCGCGGGGTCCGAGCGCACGCGGAAGAGCGGCGCGAGCGGCAAGGCGGCGCAGATGCGCGAGGCCTGCGCCATCAACTCGTCGCTGTCGACGCTGGGCCGCTGCGTCGCCGCGCTCGTCGCCGCGCGGAAGCACGCGGCGGACGGCGCCGCGGGCCCGGCGCCGCCCGCGCCGCCCTTCCGCGACAGCCCCCTGACCTGGCTCCTCCGCGAGGCCTTGGTCGGCGACTCGCGGACCTGGATGATGGCCTGCGTCGACGCGAGCGACGCGCAGCGCGGCGAGACGCACAGCACGCTGCGGTACGCGGCGTCGGCCCGGAGCCTCCGGACGCGCGCCAAGGTCAACGCGGACCCCGTCGCGGCGCTGCTCAAGGCCCTGCGCGCCGAGGTCGAGGACCTCAAGGCCCAGCTCGCGGCCGCCGGCGGCCGCGGCGCGCCGCGCGCGGCCGCGGCGCCGCCGCCGCCGGCGCAGCTCCCGCCGCAGCCCGCGCTCGCGCTCCGCGCGTCCCTGGGCTTCCTCGACGCCGCCGACGACCTCTGCGACGAGCTCGGCGACGCGCGCAGCGACGGCGACGACGAGGGCGACGAGGACGAGGGCTGGGGCACGTAAGTGCAGGTGAGTTTTTTATTTTTTTGAACAGCGGGGGGTCGCGGGGCCCGCGCGGCGCGGGGGGGGGCGCGCCGCGCGCGGGCGTGCCGCGCGCGGCGTCATTGCGGCGCGCAGAAGGCGCCGCGGGGCGCCGCCGGGCCCTGGGTCTTGGCGACGTAGCGCGCGGCGCGCCGCCGGCCCGGGCCGCGCGGGCGGACGCCGGGCCGCGCCTTGCCGCCGGGGCCGCGGTTCCGGTTGCGCGCCTCCTGGGCGAGGGCGTTCTGGATGGACTCGATGGGGTAGGTGCTGACGAGGGGCTTGTAGGTCCAGATGGACGGCGCGCTGCCGCGCGTGAGGTAGTAGTCGGACAGGGCGACGTTGGACAGCGGCGACAGGGCCTCGAAGCTGTCGGCGCCCTCCTCCCACTTGAAGCCGAGGAGCGCGGAGGCGGGCGCGGGCGGCGCGCGGGCGCTGGGACCGGGGGCGAGGCTGTACATGGCTGCGTGACTCGGGTCGAGGCAATGGGCTGTTGTTTAGATCTCGGTCTCGAGCGTGCGAAGTGCCCTAAGCGCCCTGCAGGCCAATGTTGTCCACCCTTATCTTCTCACCTCAGAAGTAACTCAACACACTCGTGCAGTACTGCAACCATATATTTTAGTTGAGTTTAAGTGAGAAATTCAAGGCCATGTCAAAAGGTAACATACCTCCGACCCTGTTGGTGCTGTAGCCATGCAGCTAAGGTGCAGCCCCAGTCCATCGGCGCAGACCAGCCTGGGCTGCCGCCTCGCGCGACCATGATGTTCGCCATGATCGACGACGACGGCCCGCGCGCGTCCATGATCCGCGTGCTCAAGGACCAGATCGCCGCCGCCGAGCGCCAGGTCGCCGGTGCGCGCGACGACGGGTTAAAGACCGTGGCGCGGAACCTGCTCATGCAGCTGTCCTACGGCCTCGGGTCGACGCTGGGCCAGCTCACGGCCGAGGAGCGCCTCACGCTGGTCCTCGACGGCTGCGTCGGCCCCGGCGACGGGTCCGAGGCCACGCAGGCCGCCGCGGACCGGCTCTGCTACGAGGAGGCCGCCGCGCGGCTGTCGACGGCCGTCGGCCTCGCGCCCGGCGGCAAGTGGCCCGAGGCCGAGGACGCGCTCGCCGCGGCCCTCGCCGGCCTCGGCGGGGCCAGCGCGGCGCCGCCGGACCGCGCGTCGCCGGCGACGGTCGCCGCGCTCTTCGACGACTTCGCGCAGAGCTTCGACGACACGATGGCCGAGGTCGCCTACGAGGCGCCCATGCTCGCGGCGGCGACCGTCGACGCGCGCGTGACCTGGGACCGGCGCGGCCGCGCCTACGAGACGTGCTGCGACGTCGGCTGCGGCACGGGCCTCGGCGCCGCGGCCGTCGCCGCGTCCGTCGCGGGCCCGTTCGTCGGCCTCGACGCGTCCAGACGCATGGCCGAGCGCGCCCGGGCCCGGCGGCGCTTCGACGAGGCGAACGGGGCGCCCGTCTACGGCGAGGTCCTCGTGGGCGACGTCCTCGAGGAGCGGACGGTGGCCGCGGCCGCCGACCGGGGCCCGTACGACCTCGTCTTGGCCGTGGACGTCGCGTGCTACTTCGGCGCGCTCGAGCCGCTGCTCGACGTCTTCGAGTTCCTGGCCAAGCCCGGCGGCGACGTCGTCTTCTCCGTCGAGCGCGCGGGCGACGACGCGGAGGACTGGGCGCTCGCGGAGACGGGCCGCTACAAGCACGACGTCCGGTACGTCATCCGCGCGGCCGCGGCCGCGGGCCTCGAGTGCCTCGAGCGGCGCGGGCTCTCGGGCACGGGCCGCACGGAGGACGGCAAGCCCGTGCGCGTCACCGTGCTCTGCCTCACGAAGCCCGACCCCGCGAACGCGCCGCCGGCGCCGCCGGACGGCGACCACCCCGTCGTCGAGGCCGAGGCGCCGCCGCCCGTGCCGCCCGCGGCGGCGCCGCCGCGCGCGCGGACCGCGGCGCCGGGCCTCCGCGCGTCGACGCCGCCCGCGGGGCCCCGGACCGCGGCGACGTCGCCGCGGCAGCTCAAGCTCCAGCGGCCGGGGTCGTCGACGGCGCGCGCGCGGCCCGCGGCGCGGCCCGCGACGACGCCGGAGGCGCGGCGGCCCCTCCCCGGCCTGCCGCGCGCGACCCCGTCCTTCCCGTCCGTGCGATAGGTCCTTTTTCTTACGTGGGCAGGACGAGCTCGAGCGCGACGACGCCCTCGAGGGTCGCCGCCGCCGAGCAGAGGCGGAGCGCGGCCAGGGGCTGTTGGGCCGCGTCCTCGAACGCGAGCACGGCGCCGACGAGGTCCGCCTTCGGCACCGGCGCCGACGCGCGGCCGTCGGCCGATCGGAAGACGCCGCCGTCGCACGCCACCAGCGCGCTGAAGAACGCCGTCGGGCACAGCGCGACGATGGCCGCGACGCTCGCGCCGACGTAGGCGCCGCTCGCCGTCCGCGGCAGCTCCTTCAGCGTCGCGAGCGACAGCTGGGCGCAGTGCTTGCCCGCCAGGACTCGAAAGTCGGGCGCGACGGCGTCGTCCGCGACGGCGCCGGCGATGGCTTTCACGAAGCCGGGCTCGAGCTGGGCTGCCATGGGGCGTCACTCGCAGCTCTTACAAGCGCGGCTCTCTCACGAAGCAGCCCGTGCCGACGACATATGCATGGCTACAACATCCGTTCATCATCAGCCCAGATTTCAAACTCGAGGTGAGGCTCTTCTCTGAGAGTCTCCGCCGGCGCGGCCTGAACCACCACAGCACAACCGCATGCGCCCTGCGCTCACGAAGATGGCGCCGACGAACGACCTGCCGCAGCTCACGTGCATCGTCGCCGCCGTCGCCGGGTCCTACGGCATCGGCAAGGACGGCACGCTGCCGTGGAAGCTCGCGCGCGACCCGCGTCCCGAGCGACGCGCGCACCCCCGGAACACCAAACCCGCAGGCCGGCGACATGAAGTACTTCAAGAAGGTGACGAGCGCCGCGCCGGAGGGCAAGACGAACGCGTGCGTCATGGGCCGGAAGACGTGGCTGTCGATCCCGCCCAAGTTCCGGCCGCTCGGCGGGCGCAAGAACGTGGTGCTGTCGCGCAACCCGAACGCGCGCGAGGAGCTCGGCCTGCCGCCGGACGTCTTCGTCTGCCCGAGCCTCGACGCGGCCGTCGACGCGCTCGCGGGCGAGGCGGATTTGGGCGAGGTCTTCGTCATCGGCGGCGGCCAGGTCTACGCGTCGGCCCTCGCCGACGCGCGCTGCACGAAGGTGCTCCTCACGTCCATCGACGACGCCGCGGGAGCCTTCGCCGACTGCGACGCGGTCTTCCCGGATCCCGCGAAGGCGGGCTTCGCGTCCGCGGCGTCCGGCGAGGCTTTGGTCGAGAACGGCGTCGCCTACCGCTTCGAGACGCTCACGCGGCCGGCGAAGAAGCCGCCGCTCCGGGAGTCCAACGGCCCGCCCGCGCCGCCGCCGGCAAACGAGAAGCCCGCGGCGCCGAACCACGAGGAGAAGCAGTACCTCGACCTCATCGCCGAGATCCTCGACCGCGGCGTCCGCCGCGGCGACCGCACGGGCACGGGCACCATCTCCATCTTCGGCGCGCGCATGTCCTTCAGCCTCCGGAACGACCGGTTCCCCCTGCTGACGACGAAGCGCGTCTTCTGGCGCGGCGTCGCCGAGGAGCTCGTCTGGTTCGTGAGCGGGTCGACGAACGGGAAGCTCCTGGCGGACAAGGGCATCCACATCTGGGACGGCAACGGGAGCCGCGAGTTCCTCGACCGGCGGGGCCTGGGCCACCGCGAGGAGATGGACCTGGGCCCCGTCTACGGCTTCCAGTGGCGCCACTTCGGCGCCAAGTACGTCGACATGCACAAAGACTACGCGGGCGAGGGCGTGGACCAGCTCGCGGCCTGCGTCGAGACCATCAAGCAGGACCCGAACTCGCGGCGCATCGTCCTGTCCGCGTGGAACCCCGCGGACCTCGACGAGATGGCGCTGCCGCCGTGCCACATGTTCTGCCAGTTCTACGTCGCGAACGGCGAGCTCTCCTGCCAGATGTACCAGCGGTCCGCGGACATGGGCCTCGGCGTGCCCTTCAACATCGCGTCCTACGCGCTCCTCACGCGCATGGTCGCGCAGGCCACGGGCCTAAAGCCGGGCGACTTCGTCCACGTCATCGGCGACGCGCACGTCTACTCGAACCACGTCGACGCGCTCAAGGTCCAGCTCCAGCGCGAGCCCCGGCCCTTCCCGACGCTCACAATCAACCCGGCGAAGACGGGCATCGACGACTTCGAGTTCGCCGACTTCACCGTCGAGGGCTACAAGCCCTACCCCAAGATCGACATGAAGATGGCCGTCTAGGATCGCGGCGTAAGAAACAAGCTCGGGACGACGGCGTTGCGCCGATACCGCCGGCCGGGGTCGGCCTCGAGCGCAGGGCGCCTAGGATGCGTGCGGGGTGTAGTGTTGGCCTCGACGCGCTGAGCGCCAGTGCGCTAGCCCGGCAGCCTCCCGGCTGACTCAGCCGCCTCGAGCTGACAGTGAAGCAAGTAGTGAAGCACGTTTCAGAAGCATCTCGATCTCGCCGGGCTGCCGGCTGTATTGTGCGTTCCTGCAGCAACGCTCGCAGCTCAGCACATCGCGCGGGGCCCACCCATGATGAAGGTCGCGCTGGCGGCCCTGTGCGCGGTCGCCGCCGCTGAAGAACAAGGCTTTGGCGCAGCTGGAGGGTGCGCGTCGACCAATGGGACGATCATCGAAGCCGACCAAGACTGCTCGGGCGCCGATGTGTGGCCCGTCAAAACGTGTGACAGCGTGTTCTGGACGAAGAAGCACCGGGAGTGGAGCCGGACGCGTCTTCCCGGGGGCGATTGCGGCCACCGCTGCTGTCGCGCGCGCGTCTTGCGAAGCGACCGCGAACGCTGCTGCGAGTTGCACTGGTGGGCCATCGTCATGGTCGCCCTGTCCTCGGCCCTGGGGTTCTTCCTCATCTTCATCGTGGGTATCCCCGCCTACTGCGACAGCCTGGAGGAGGGGGGTCGGGGTGGCGGTGCCGTCCGGCCGGCCCGCCAGTGGAGCGGGTCCTTCCGCCAGTGGAGCGTCCGCGGCCGCGAGCCCCGCAAGGTCGAGATGGTCGAGGACTTTGCGCACCGGTCCCCGCACGGGACGACGGTCGACGCGGCAGTCGTCGGCGCGCCCGGCGACCACGCGCTCTCCGACGAAATCGCCCGGCTCGGCGCGCTGCGCGACCGAGGCCTCCTCAGCGACGCGGAGTTCGCCGCGGCGAAGCGGAAGGTCCTCGGCGTCTAGGCGCCACGAGGGACCACGTCCCCGATAAAAGAGGCCCTACGCGTCCTTCTTGCATTCGTCCTCGCGCGGCGGCGCCGGCGCCGCCGCGCGGAAGGGCGGGAAGCAGGCGAGCACGGCGCCGAGCGCCGCGAGGTGGAAGCCCGCGGCGACGCGCGGCTGGTCCCCGGGCGCGACGCCGTCGAACGCGATCCCGCCGAGCAGGGGCGCGGCGACGCCGACGGACGACATGAGCACGTCGAGCGACGCGAGCGCGGCCGCGACGTCGCTCCGGGGCACGGCCTCCGTGAACATGGCCCGGAGCGAGATCGTCGACACCTGGCTCGCCGCGGCCGACAGCGGGAAGATGGCGAGCGCGTAGGCGAGGAGCGACGGGTCCGCGAGGGCCTTGGCGACGACGGGCACGGCGTCGACGCGGAGGGCCGCCGCGGCCGCCGCGGCAAAAGGAACCGCGGGCGACCGCCGCCAGAACGCCGCGGGCGCGGCCTCGGCGAGCGCCGCGACGAGGAACGCGGCCGCCGCGGCGCGCACGAGGGCCGGCGCGCCGAAGCGCCGCGTGAGCGCGCCCGCGAGGTGCCACGACGACAGCACGCCCACGAAGGACTTGAACGTGCCCAGGTAGGCGGCGTCGCCGCGCGTCAGGTCCCAGCGCTCGAGCTCGTAGAGCTGGCGCGTCACGGCCGCCGCGCGGCCCGCGAAGGCGAGCGCGAGCCGCGCGACGCAGACCGCGGCGACGTCGCGCGACGCGAGCACGGTCCGCCTGAGCCGCGCCACGAGCGACTCCGCGGGCGCCTTCGCGTCGCGCGGCTCCGCGGCCGCGGCGGCGCCCGCGGGCAGGGCCAGCGAGATCAGCGCGAAGTCAAAAGCGTATAATCCGACGGCGACGGCCGACGGGTAGCGCGCGTCGCCGAAGCTGTTGAGGTAGCCGCCGAGCGACTGGCCGGCGATCCACGACACTTGCGCCGCCGACGACACGCGGCCGATCCAGAGCGCGCGCTCCGCGCCGGGCTCCGTGAGCTCCGTCATCAAAGCCGTCGACGCGGTCATGGTCTGCTTGCAGAGGCCGACGACGACGCGGCTCAGCACCAAGACCTCGAACGGCGCCGACGGCCAGCCGACCATCGCGTACGCGGATCCCGCGCCGACAAAGTTCAAAAGTAATAAGCCCTTGCGCCCCAGGGCCCCGTCCGACAGCGCGCCGAGCGCGAGGCCGCCGACGATCTGCGCGACGCTGTAGGTCGAGCCGACGAGGCCCAGCGCCTTGCTGGACACGCCGAGCTCGCGGAAGCGCGCGGGCAGCAGCGGCACGACGAGCGACACGGCGAGCAGGTCGAGCAGCACGGCGCCGACGATGACGCGCTTCTGGTTCTCGCGGCTAAGAGGCATCGTTCCAAAGGCTTGCGCGGCGCGTCGATGAGTCGCACGGTTAGATGAGCAGCGTCTCAGACCTCGATGATCACGTCCACCATCCGCTTCTGTGGTTTTGGCGATCCGTTGTGGCAATTGCAGAGCTGGCAAAGCATGATGCGACATGACTAGGCTTTGACGCAAAAGCATGCGCCTCCGCCTACTCCGCGGCGACATCTCGCGCGCGAAAGCAGGTGCAATCATCACGAGCGCCAACGACGCTTTGATCGGCAACGAGAACCCGCTCTACTGGCGCTTCACGTCGCGGAAGAACGTCGACGGCGCCGTGCGCGAGGCCGCCGGCCCCGGCCTGCGCGCCGCGTGCCTCGCGCTGCCGGAGGTGGAAGCGGCGCCCTACGCCGACGAGGAGCCGCGCGACATCTCCCGCTGGGCGGAGACGGCGAAGCGCGGCGCGTCGGCGACGCTGCGCTGCGCGCCGGGCGCCGCCGTCGCGACGCGCGCCTTCGGCCTCGAGGCCGACTGGTGCGTCCACGCCGTCGCGCCGGACAGCGAGTTCGGCTACGAGGGCCACTACCAGGGCATGCCCGGCATCCGCGGCGAGGAGGTCCGCGCGCGGAGCCGCCCGCCGCTGGCGCGGCTCCGCGGGTCCTACGAGAGCGCTTTGGACATCTGCCGCGAGGTCGGCGCGTCGTCCGTCGCCGTGCCCGCGCTCGGCGCGGGCGTCAAGGGCTGGCGCCCGGCCATCTCCGCGGCGATCCTCGTCGACGCGCTCTGCCGCAAGCGCGCGTCGCTGCCGGCGGACGTCGACGTTTTTCTGGGCTCGGACGACGCCTGGGTCGCCTTCGGCAAGAGCTTCCGGCTCCTGCTCGGCGCCGCGGACGAGGTCGAGGACGACCCGAAGGGCCCGATCGCGTGGCGCTTCGACGACGACGACGCGCGGCTGCCCTACGACGCGGCGGCGGACACGACCGTGGACCTCTCGCTGATCCCCGACCTGCGGCCGCGGCCGCGGCGGAAGAACGCGGGCTACGCGGGCGACCACTGGGCGCCGACGGACAACGGCTGGGGATAGGGTCTTGCGAGAGAAAAATCGGGCGCCCCTAGAGGTCCGCGGCGAGCCACGCGTCCATGTCGGGCGCGTCGTTGAGGTCGATGTTGTTGAGGCGCATGCAGGCGAGGATGCCCTCGGGGAGCTCCGCGACGGAGCGGCCCTCGACGAGCCAGCCGATGTCGCAGACGAGCTTGGGGAACTTGGGGAGGAGCTTGAAGAGGGCCTGGTTCGACGTCGCCGCGAAGTCGAGGCCCACGTCGAGGCCGAACTCGTAGTAGTCGTCGTCGCGCGACACCTGCACGACCCCGGGCCGCTCGCCGACGAGCGCCGCCGCCGCCATGAGCACGGGCTTGGCGTTGAACTGGTGCAGCAGGCGCGGCAACCCCAGCGACGCGTCGCCGATGTTGTCGACGCGCGCGACGCCCTTGAAGGCGCCGTTGAGCACGGACATGGTCTCCGCGTTGTTCGCGTAGTACTGCCAGAGGCCGAGGTGCGGCGGCCAGTCCTCGCGGGGCCGCTCCTTGATGATCCGCGCCGTCTCCTCCGTGACGCGCCACCAGCAGACGACCTGCCAGCCCTGGGGCGCGCCCTCGCGCTCGCGCTCCTCGGGCTTCGGCGGCCCGCCGAAGAGCGCCGGCGGCTCGCCCGGGAAGAACATGTTCTGGACGAGGATCCGCGGGCACCAGGCCGGCAGGTCCTCCTCGTGGGGGCGCTTCGGAGGTAATTGGGCCCGCGCGGGCAGGTCGAAGAGGGGCGCCGCGCGGCGGAGGACGTCGAGCGCGAAGGGCTCGTACAATTCCTCCGCGCTCGGGAACTTCTTCTTGTCGCGGAGGTAGTCCGGGCCCCGGAGGACGAAGCGGCTCGCGACGGACGGCTCCCAGGTGCCGACGTCGCCGGCGACGGCGGCCTTGCGCGTCGACGACCCGGGCACGGCCTTGACGGTCACGGATTGGAGCGTCGACGCGCGGCGGCTCCTAGCGAGCGCCTTCTGCGCGTCGAGCACGTCGAGCGACGGGAACGGCGGCTCGTCCATCTGCGCCTCGTAGCCGCCCAACCAGACCGTGTCCAGGAACCCGCCGCGGCCCGCGCCGCGGATCGGCGCCGGCGCGCGCGCCCGGACGAGCGAGATGACGGTGGCGACGAGCGCGACGAGGAGCACGGGCCGCGCGAGCGCGCCGAGCCGCGCGGCGTCGTCTCCCACCAGGTAGCGCAGCGCGAAGACGTGCGCGCCCGTGACGACGGCGGCCCAGCAGATGCGGTCCCCGGGCGCGAGCTCCGCGACGGCGAGGTCCGCGCCGCAGCTCGCCGCCTTGAGCGTCGCCGCCGCCGCCGCGTGCGTCGCGAGCACGACCTCGGCGTCCATGGCGGGGTCCGGCGGCTCGGCGTCGATGACTTCCAACGCGACCTTGTCCTTGCGGCGCAACCGCATCCGTCGACGCCCGCGTGCGGGCGTCGAGCGTCGATGCGGTGGGTGGTGGACGATGCGAGGCGCTTCGGGCCGACGCCCGTCGACGCCGTGGGTGGCCGAGAGAGAGGCCGGCTGGATGCTGCCCATGGTGAAGTTGGCTCGCTTCGCCTCGCCACTGAGCCGGCCGCTCGCCGAAGGTGACGGCAGGCTCGGCTTGGGGCTGGGCTGGATGCTGCCCCCTTGGTGAGGCGGACGGTGCCGTCGAATCGGAGGACGCCAGCATGGCGACCGATGCGGCCGCGAGCAAGCCCCTGCTGCCCCCCGCGCCGGACTATGGAAAGTCGCAGTCGAGCGCGTCCGAGTGGGAGGAGGACGGCTACAGGGGCCACTCCTTCTTCCACGGCCGGAACATGGCCGACGAGGAGAAGGCCGCCGGCGGCTCGATGCGCTGGTGGGCCGCGGCCCTCATCTTGTTCTACTTCGTCTTAGGTATCACCTACTACACGTACTTCGCGGACCCGGAGCACTTCGACTTCCTCGACAGCGTCTACTTCTGCGTGACGACGCTGACGACCGTCGGCTACGGCGACCTCAACACGAAGTACGACGAGGACGGCTCCGTGCAGGACATGATCTTCACGAGCTGCTTCGTGCTGCTCGGCGTCGGCCTCATCGGCACGGCCCTCGGCGTCGTCATGGCCTACGCGCTGGACCAGGAGGACGCCATCGCGGCCACGCTGCGGGAAGACGACGACTTCGACCCGTCGGCGCCGCGGACGGAGGAGGTCTGCGGTTTGCACCTGTCGGAGGCCGAGGCCAAGGTCGCGTTCCAGGTGCCCATGGTCTGCGGCTTGCTAGCCCTGGGCACGGTGTGCTACAAGTTCATCGAGGACACGACGGTGACCGTGGCCTTTTACTGGACCGCGGTGTCCGTGACGACCGTCGGCTACGGCGACGTCTTCCCGAGCACGCGGGGCGGCAAGATCTTCGCGATGTTCTTCCTCCTGGGGGGCTGCGGCGTCATGGCCAAGGCCGTGGGCGACGTCGCGGGGCTGCCCCTCGAGCGGCGGAAGCGGCGCAACGAGCAGGCGGTCCTCGCGCAGTACGGCGAGGACCTGGACCCCGACGAGTTCCACGAGATTTTGACGTCCTTCCGGGACCTGGGCCTCGCCGCGGCGAGCGACGGCTCCTGCTCGAAGACGGAGTTCGTGCTGAGCATGCTGCTGAAGCTCGACCGCGTCAACCAGCACGACATCCGGCGGTGCGCGCGCGTCTTCGACGACCTCGACATCGACAAGAGCGGCCGCCTCGACAAGGCGGACCTGACGAAGAAGGAGTCCTGACAAGTAAATTCGCAACGTTGGATTCGAAGCCGCGTTCCGCGGGATGCGTTCGTAGCTTTCGAGTCGCTTACGTGGCTAGCAGTCCTCGTCGAGCTTCGCGCGCGCGTAGGCGACGTCGACGCGCGCGTCGGCTTCGCGCGCCTCGGCGTCGCGGAGCGCGTCCTCGAGGCTCGCGCTCCGGATCGACGCGGCTTTGAGGTCCGCCGCGAGCTTGGTGAACGCGCAGGCCGCCGCGGCCTCGAGCTGCGTGTTGAGGTCGAGCGCGCAGAAGCACGCGAGCGCGAAGGACACGGCGGACAGCTTCGCGAGCGTCTCGGGCGCGAACGAGGTCCGCGGCCACTCGGTCTCGGCCGCCCTGGCGTCGACGGCGAGCGCGGCGACGTCCGGCGTCGCCGCGCGCGCGATGTCGACGACGGGCTCGGCCGCCGACCACATGGCCTCCTCGACGACGACCTCGGCCGCGGGCTCGGTCGCGACCGCCGCCACTTCCAGCCGCGCCGGCGCGGCGGGCTCCGCGACCGCCGCCGACTCGGCCCGGGCGGCCTCCGGCGCCGGCGCGGCCCGCTCGACCGGCGGCGGCGCCACCGCCGACTCGAGCCGCGGCGCGTCCTGGCGGCGCCGCGCCGCGAGGGACTCGTCGAAGGACGCCGCCCGTTCCTTGAACTGCGTCAGCCAGCGCGCCTCGTAGGCCTTGGCCCGCTGGCCCGGGTCCTCGATGTCCAGGAGCCGCGGGGACGCGTCGGCGGCGGACGTCGAGGCGACGGACGACGTCGCGATGGGCACGGCGTCCGACGGCCGCTTGTACCGCTTCGCGATGATCTCCTCCATGGACGCCGCGCGGTCGCGCAGCTCCTGCATCGCGCGCTCCGCGTAGTCGCTGCGCCGCTGGTCCAGGTCCCCGAGGGTCGCCGGCGGCGGGACCGCGTAGGCGACGGACGTCGACGACACGGACAGGGGCGGCATGGAGTTGAGGATGTTCGCGGCGCCCTCGCGCGCGCTCTCGAGCGCCGCGGTCCGCCGCCGGTCGCCGTCGGGCACGAAGCTGTCGACGTAGGCCGCGGCCTCGAGGCGGGCCTCGGCCGCGGCGTCGATGACGAAGGGGCGGCGGCGCCCCAGGCGCAGGGGCGCGGTCATGAAGCTGAAGAGGCGCAGGAACAGTGTGCCGAGCCGGAACCGCGGCTCCGGCGCGAGGATCGACGGGAGCGCGAACGCCTCAGCGGAGGTGATGGTCGGCGGTCGCCGCGGCATGGTCGGGCTCCGGAAAGCCGTCACACATACTGTAACAGTGAGGACAGCTAGCTTGGCGCGCATATTCGAGGGAGCGCGGCGGCGTCGACGGAGACCGTTGGGTCGCCCAACGTCGTCTTTGCCGCTCTCGACTGGCGTCACGCGGGAAATGAGTGCTTCTGCAGCTGCTCGTGGAATTTGAACGAGGTCGACCACGCGCGGGCCAGTGCCGCTTCGCTTCCGAGGCCTTGTTCGCTCCAGATCGCTCCGGGATGGCTCCGGGGTTGCCCCGGATCGCCGGGTTCCCGTCCGACTCGTGTCCGAGCGCGTGGGATCGCTTCGGATCGCCGCAGATCGCCGCGGCGCGCGGATCTTGCGCAGGGATCGCGCAGGGATCGCTCCGGATCGCCACCGGGATCCTGGTGGCACCGGCCTCTGCGGCACACGTCCCCGCATCCCCGAAACCCTTATTTAACCCGATGCAGCCCCCCCTTCGCGCGTTCGCCCTCCGCCGGCCGCCGTCCCAGCGCCGCCCGCGACGGCGTCCCCGAAAAACCCTCAGCTTCGGGCCACGCGGCCTCCAACCCCGCGGCGCCGCGCATGGCCGCGAGCGCGCCCTCGTCCCACGTCGACCGCAGGACCCCGCGCGCGACGTCCGCGAAGCGCGCGGGCGCGTCGTCGAGGCACCAGCACCAGCCGAACGCCGCGCGGTTCTCGTCCTCGGCGTCGCAGGACGAGACGTCGCCGCCGAGCTTCTTCCGCTTCGCCTTGTCCTCCTTGGTCATCGCCGCCAACCGCCGCGCGGCGGCCGCAGCCGCGTCCGCGCAGGGGAGGGCCTGGTCGTCGAAGCGCGTCATGCGCGGGTGGTACACGGCGGCGAACTTGCGCTCCTCGGCGGCCGACGGGTCCCGCGAGTCGATCGCGCGCGCGTTCAGCGCCGTGTCGAGAGCATACCCGCCCCGCAAGTGCGCGAGCACGAGCGATTGCTGCGGGTCCAGCGTCTTGATGCGCCCCGCGGACCGCGACGCCTTGCGCACGTAGTGGACCCACAGATACTCGGCCGACGCGTGCGCGACGAGCTTCTGGCGGTGCATCTGCGCCTTGCCCGCGCACGCGCCCGCGTCCAGCAGCGTGCCGCCGCCCCGCCCGACGGCGCCCCGGCCCGAGTCCCGGGGGCAGCGCGCGTAGAAGACGCAGGGCAGCGATAAAGCCCGCGGCACGGGCCGCGCCGCCGAGTATGAGGACACGAGCGCCCGGAGCGGCTGATCCGGCGCGCCCGGCGGCGGCACCAAAAATTCGTCGACGTCGACGTGCGTGACCCACGAGGCCCCGGCGGCGACGGCGCGCCGGTGGCACGCGTTCTGCGCCGCGTACTGGCTCGGCCGGCCAAACATGCCCTGGGTCGTCAGCGTGCCGTTCGTCTCGGCGACGACGCGGCGCTCGAACGCGGCCGGGTCGCACGACGCGGACCGGTCGTCGTTGACGGCAGGCCAGGCGACGTGCGTCGCGCCGCCCGGCAGCGGCGCGAGGGCTATCTGGAGCGGCGATGCCGCGCGCCAGCCGTCGCCGCCGTCGCGGAGCGCCGCGGCGTAGACGCCGTCGCTGTTGTCCATGATGGCGACGTGGTCGACGCCGAGCGCCAATAAATGCGCGAGCCACTCGGCGACGCGCGCGGCCGGCAGGCCCTGGGCGACGTTGTCGCGGTCGAGGTAGGCGCCGCCGCGGACCCAGGCGCAGGCGGCGATGGTCGGTCTCGATTCTTGTTCCAGCGCGGGCACGCGCCGTTGCAAGACGACGGGGATGGCCGGGTGCGCGGCGGTCGCTTCCGCGAAGGCGGCCTTGGACGTCGCCACGCGCGCGACGACGCCGCCGCCCCGCGCGCAGGCCGCGCCGCGGAGCGCCTCGGGGACCGGGCACGTGAAGGTGAACGTCGACCGCGCCTTCAGGTAGACGCCCGCGTCCGCCGCGTCCGCGGCCACGACGACCTCGGCGCCGCCGTCGGAGAACGCGCAGTAGAGCGCGAGCTTGTTGCGGTCCGTCGCGCGGCTCGCGAACTCGGCGTTGAGCGCCGCGGCGACGGCCTTGCGGACCTTGGTGCGCCACTGGCTCGACACGCAGACCTGGCAGCCCTTCTTCTCCTTCACGAGGTCCGCGCGCCACGCGCGCCAGTCGTCGAGGCCCGCGCGCTCGAGCGTGCGCTCGCGCGCGTCGCAGGCGCCCTCGAGCTGGCCGACGAACGTCGCGGCCGCGCAGCCGTCGCGCTCCGCGGCGAAGGCGTGGTACAGCGCGAACGGCAGGCCGTGCGCCGACGACGGGTGCAGCGGCACGGCCGTCTCGTCGCGGCCCGGGGACGCGGGTCGCGGCGGCGAATGCGGCGGCGCTGGCTCCGCCGGCGGCGGCCGTCGCGCCTCCGCCGGCGGCGGTCGTCGCGGCGCCGCCGGCGGCGGCGCGGCGTCCGTCGTCGACGTCGCGAGCGCCGCCGCCGGCGCCGCGTCGTGCCGCGGCAGCGACGCGTGGTGGCGCAGGTTCAGCAGCGCCACGACCAGCGCGCAGGCGACGAGCGCCAGCACGCCGCGGCGCGCCATGGGTCTAGACCGCCGGTACAGCTAGGTCGCTTCCAGGCTCGTCGCAGCGCCCATCCTTTGTGGCAAGAACAAGTTGAACATCACCAAAAACGTTGCACCCCCGACCAAGCGCTAACTCGAGGTGAGGCCGCCGCCCGGCGCGTCGGAGGCAGCCCTCCGGGCGCGCGCCGGTCACCATGAGCCATGCCGTGGCGACGAACACGATGATGCGGCTGCCCGCGAGCGAGCTCATGACCATGCGCGAGGAGTTCGAGGCCGAGGAGGACGGGCTGACGCTGGACCAGTTCGTGCGCGTCATGCTGCGGCGCGCGCGGCACACGAGCAAGCGCAAGTACGAGAAGCTCGCGCGCGCGAAGCGCATGGCGCGGCGCCACGCGCCCGCCGACGAGGAGCCGGCGCCGACCTTCGAGAGCGACGACAGCGACGTCGACGAGAGCGACGAGGTCTACGACGCGAGAGGGGCCATCCGGCCCATGGTGGGCCTCGACGGCCGGGCGAACCTGGGCGCCGTCGACGACCTCTGCGAGCTCTTCGACCAGATCGATGTGAACGGCGACCAGCACCTCGAGTGGGAGGAGTTCACGTCGTTCGTCATCGAGCACGGGATGGAGAAGTCGGACGACGACCGCGGCGGGCTCCACGACCGCTACCTGGAGCGCAAGGTGACCTGCGAGCCCGTGGGCTGGCGGCCCCACGGCGGCGGCGGGCCGGGGCCCTTCAAGCTCTTCCGCTGGATCCCGGAGCTGCGGCTCCTCTGCATCTGCGCGGCGGGCTGCTGGGCGCTCTTCTCGCCGTTCCCGCGCGCGGCGGCCGCGCGCGACCACGTCCGCGCGGTCTTCCAGTGCTCCCTGGCGCCGGCGGAGGAGACGTCGGCGACGGCGGAGGAGGTCGACGGGTCCCAGCTCCTGGCCCAGTCCCAGGCGCTCCTCGAGGGCGGCGGCGACGACGACGGCGACGACGCGCGCGAGCAGCCGTCCGCGTCCACGAACCCGGACGCGGCGCCGCGGTCCACGGTCAAGGACGCCGTCATCGAGTGCCTCGACGTGGTCTTCGCGCCCAAGGATGAGCTCATCATCGCGCTGTGCAGCGACCTGACGCTGCGGTTCTACCACATGTCGAGCCGCCAGTCCGTCCACGAGGAGACGGTCAACGCCAAGGGCGCGACGCGCCTCGCGCTGCCCCACACGCGCGCGGCCTGGTGGGCCGGGGCCTTGCTGGAGGGCCGCCACGTCGGCGCGCGCCTGCTCTTCCTCGCGGGGCCCCGGGCGACGGTGACGGCGCTCGCGGTGCGGCCGTTCGACCCGCGGCCGCGGCCCGGCGCGGACCGCGACAAGGGCGAGCCCCCGGGCGTCACGCAGCTCGAGGGGCTGCACGGCCACTCCGACGTCGTCAGCGACGTCGTCGTGCTGGAGCAGCCGCGGACCATCGTCGGGCCGCCCGCGTCCGGCGGCGCGTTCGGCGCGGACGACGGCGACGTGCTGCCGCGCGAGGTCGGCCTCCTCGCGACGGCGTCCATGGACCGGACCATCAAGCTCTGGGAGCTGCCCGCCATGGTCTGCGTGTCGACGCTCGAGGGCCACAGCGCGGGCGTGCGGTCGCTGTCCTACGACCGCGCGCAGCACGTGCTCCTGAGCGCGGGCTTCGAGTTCGGCGTGCGGGCCTGGGGCGTGTCGGGCCACCAGGCCTTCCCCCTCTTCGCCCTCGAGGGCGGCCACGCGACGTCCGTGCGCTCCGTCTGCGCGGCGCCGGGCGGGTCGCGGTCCGCGGTGTCGCTCGACGACGACGGCGTCTTCGCCTGTGCCGAATTCAACCACTGGTTTGGGGGGTCCCCACCAAACTTCAGAACTCTCTATCTCGATCAAACCGAAGTCGATTCGGCCGACTTTTGGACGAATGGATTGCTCTCATCGATTTCTCGAAGCACAGCAGAAAACCTTGCGTCGAAACGGTCGCATACGCTCACATTGAAGTCGGGTTGAAGATTTGATTTCCACACAGGTCCTGGCGTGGTGGGACACGTCGCGCGACTCCGCGTCGTCGGCGTCGGACCGCCTGACGCACGCCGTCACCTTAAGCGGCGACGACTGCGCCGTCGTCGTGCCCGTGGGCTTCGGCGTCGACGTCGAGATGGCCCAGCACAAGCAGCGGGAGGCCGCGCGCGCGCGGTCGCTGGAGCTCGACAAGCTCGCGCAGCGGCGCCAGTCGCTGTTGGACGCCAAGGGCGGCGGCTCGCCGCTGCGCCCGCCGACGTCGGGCCCGCGCTTCGAGTCGGAGTCGCTGGAGACGGAGCGCGAGGCGCTGGACGCGGCGACGGCGTCCGCGGCGATCGCCTACTCGACGAACGCGATTTCGCTGGCCTGCGGCGGGAAGCGGGGCGTCTTGCGGCTCTTGGACGCGAACGACCACCGCGACGCCGAGGCGCCGCCGACGCTCGTCGCCTATTCGCCGCTGACGCACGAGATCGTGACGGCGCACGGCGGCGCGATCAAGTGCTGGGACGTGCAGATGGGCCTCCTGAAGAAGGAGCACAGTCTGGGCGACGGGCCGCGCGCCGCGGACGTGAGCGGCCTGAGCTTCGACGCGCGCGGGCGGCGCCTGCTCGTCGCGGACCGCGCGGGCGCCGTCGGCATCCGCCGCGTCCGCGACGCCGCGCCGCTCATGTCGCTCGGCCGGCACCGCGCGGAGGTCGCGGGCCTCGTCTACGCGCCCCAGGACCGGGTCGTCGTGACCGTGGGCTGGGACCGGTGCCTCCACGTCTACGACGGGGCAGCAAAAGAGAGCGAAATTCCCAACTTCAAAGGCTCCTTTCTCGGCCGTTTTCCACTCGTTTCGGCTGATTTTTGGACGAGCGATCATCTCTCGGAGCGGTCTCGACGCGTGGGCGCTTTTTCCGGAACGAGCGCGCGCGGAACACTCACGTTGAAGCGACGTTGAATCACCCTTGTGCTGCCCAGGTCTACGACGAACGCGAGGAGAACCCGGACGACGCGCTGCTCCGGGCCGTCGCGAACGCGCACGCGGCGGACATCACGGGCGTCGCGCTCTCGCGCGACACGGGCCTCATCGCGACGTGCGACGCGACGGGCGGCATGAAGCTCTGGGACTTTTTGGACCTGGGCCTCGTCGCGGAGGTGCGGGACGGCGCGGGGAAGCTGCTGCCCCAGGCGACGGCCATGGCGTTCCTCGAGCCCTACCCGCTCCTGGTGGTCTGCGACGGCGCGTCGGGCGTCCACGTCGTGCCCACGCTAAAAAACACGGCGCCCAAGGACGCGAAGACGCAGGAGCGGCGCGTCGCGCTGCGCTTCGAGAACGGCAAGTCGGCATTCGTCGACGGCGGCTTCCGGAAGGGCGCGGCGGCTAGATGCGTCGCGACGGCCGTGGACCTCGAGGGCGGCAAGGAGATCGCCGGCGGCGTCAAGCGGGGGCGGGTGCTCGTCTACACGGGCGACTCGCGGGGCGACGTGCAGATCTTCGACATCAAGCCGCGGCTGCGGGCCATGGGCGTCGCCGTCGTGCCCGGCGGCGACGTCCGCTGGCGCAAGCCCGGCTACAACTGCCGGCGGAAGCTGCGGCGGGACCACGCCCTGTCGTCCTTCGGCGACGAGGGCGACGCGGCGCCGCGGGCGCCGCCGAAGCGCCGCGACAGCGTGCTCGCGCCCACGGACCCGACGGAGCCGCCCGAGGAGAGCGCCGCCGAGGCCGCGAAGCGGCGGTCCAAGCCCGCGTTCTCCGAGCTCACGGAGCGGCGCTGGACGGCCCACGGCGGCGCCGTGACGTGCCTCCTGCTCGTCGAGGACCCGCCGCGCCTGCTGACGGCGTCGGCCGACGGCTCCGTGAAGTGTTGGACGGTGCGGGCGAGCCGCTCGGCGCGCTCACGTTCGGCCGCGACGAGGACGCCAAGGCCCTGCGCGTGCTCGCGGCGCCGGGCAAGCTCACGATCGGCGAGCGCATGGCCCAGACGTCGACGGGCGCCAACGCGGCGAAGATCTGGCGCTTCCTCGGGCCCAAGGACATCAAGCGCCAGCGCACGCGCGCGCGCGACCGCGCGCGCGACGTGCTGCGCGTCGTCTTCGACGAGAAGCGCGAGGAGGACCGCGCCCTCGCCGCCGAGGAGGAGCTCGCGCGGGCCAAGGAGGAGACCGCGCGCAAGGTCCGCGAGCGGACCGCGTCGTCGGCCGACGACGACGCGCCGCGCGACGACGGCGGCGACGAGGGCGACGACGGCGCCAAGGAGGAGCGGGGCCGCGTCTTCGGCCAGCTCGCCGGCGAGGAGACCTGGGCCGTGTCCGAGTTCGACAAGATCAAGGAGCAGGCGCGCGCGACGCGCGAGGCCGAGCGCAAGAAGGCCGAGGCCGCCAAGGGCGTCAAGAAGAGGAAAAAGAAGAAGAAGGCGCCGCCGCCGCCGAAGCGCGACGAGTCGAGCGTCGGCGGCGGCTCCCTGGAGACGCGCGAGGACGACGACGCGGAGCCCATCGTCCTCGACGACGACTCCGTCCTCGAGGCGAACGAGGCGAAGCGGAAGCAGGAGGAGCTCGTGCGGCGGGAGATCCGGAAGAATGAGCTCCAGCAGGACCCCGACGACCCGGACAACTGGGGCATCGGGTCGCGGAACCGGGAGCAGGCCATGTACGGCCACCTCTACAAGGAGCTAAAGGGCCGGAAGCGCGTCGAGACGCGGAACCGCGCGGCCGTCAAGCCGCCGGGCACGGCGGCCCACGAGCGCGCCCTCGTGCGNCAGCTCATCGAGCCCAGCGACTTTCTGAAGAAGCAGTTCGGGCCGGGGGGCAAGTACGGCG